GCAGTCTACCAGCATCCAGCAGCAACCAGCACCACAAGCACCACCAGCACCACCAGCACCACCAGCACCACCACCACCAGCACCACCAGCACCAGCACCAGCACCAGCACCACACCAGCACCAGCACCAGCACCAGCACCAGCACCAGCACCAGCACCAGCACCAGCACCAGCACCAGCACCAGCACCAGCACCAGCACCAGCACCAGCACCAGCACCAGCTCCAGCCCCAGCTCCAGCTCCAGCTCCAGCTCCAGCTCCAGCTCCAGCTCCAGCTCCAGCTCCAGCTCCAGCTCCAGCTCCAGCTCCAGCTCCAGCTACAGCTACAGCTACAGCTACAGCTACAGCTACAGCTACAGCTACAGCTACAGCTACAGCTACAGCAGCAGCAGCAGCAACAACAACAACAACAATGACAACAACAACCTCAAGAGCAACAACAACAACAACGGCAACGACAACGACAACAAACACCACGGCCACAACAACAACAACAACAGCAACAAGCAACGACAACAGCATACACAGCCACAACCACAGGCACGAAAACAATCACGATCACAATCACGATTGCAATCACGATCACAATCACACTAGCGATCGCAACCACAAACCCATCCCCAACCACAACCTCAACCAGCCACAACCGTTTTCATGCCAATGGTGCTAGCAGCTAGCACCTTGTTGCAGTTCAATGTGGGCAGATACGAGGAGGAGTCGTTCTGTACCACAACCAAAGTATGGTAGCAGGCGAGCTTACAGTAATAGTGTATACTCGTGTGTGTTAGGTTATGGCAACACGTCCTAGACTCAAGCATACCTTGCCAGCTTATGCTAAGCCCGCTTTAAGAATAATTGCATGCAACAGTGCACAACTTGTGTACTCGCGCATAGCTAGCAAAGACGTCAGACAGTAGTATCTCGTATACTATGCACTGTAGATACAGCACTCGTCACGTACACCCAGGCAGCACATCGTGTAAGTGTTTGTATAGCCCATGCAGTGCATGTGCTCAACTTGTTCAAATCACGTTTTCGTTTACGTAACCATGCATCATACTACGTAGTCAGCACTTCTTGATGTTACATGCCAGCTTCCAAGCACGTACTGCTGCGAACAAGCTATACCGGTCGGTTCATGTTCTTCGAGCCTGTTCCGAAACCCTAAACCCTAAACTGCTAAACCCCTAGACCCCTCGGGTTGGATTCCGCCAGGCAGAAGCAGCTGGTCAACGGCAGCGGCGCCCCTCCGGCAAACGGCGGTGAGTGGCAGGCGCCATGCGGTTGAGGGCGTTTAGGATTTAGGGTTTCGGGTTTTAGGGTATAGGGTTTCCAGATTTCGGAGAGAGAGGAGGGAGAGCTAAACTTATACCGTGGCTAAGAAGTGATAATGTAGCTGTCCGGTACAACTCCTACAGTAGTATCTTGAGAAAGAAGCCCAAGCCTGAAACTCGAAACCCAGAAACCATCGGCTGAAGATGCAGCAGGGTGTCTTGATGTGACGGAACGATGTCTCTAGGAGAAGTGCGAGCTTCTCCAGGACAAGTGTCTCGGCCGTGTGGGAGTAGAAAAACTGAACAGAGGGGTCTACAAATTAGTTATGGCGTTCCCTTTGTTGCCCTAACTAGCTTCCCTATAGTCGTACCATGTTAATCGATTCTTCCTACTTTTGGGGATTTGGATATTCATATAGTGGCGGGGGACAGGGAGGTTGGGAGAACGACCGCGAATTCTCGTACTCGGTGGAGAAGGAAGAGTAGCATCCACGCATAGTTATATCCAAGGGTAAAAGGAGGGACCCTTACTAAGGACCCCTGGGTATATACCCTTATTAGAGCTATCAGATACCCATTATAGGGGTAGGGGTCCCCAATTAAGGGTCCCTCCTTTTCCCCTTTGATTATAGTTAACGGCAATCCGGAAAAACCAAGCTTACAGCCCAAGGCTCTCTCGCCGGGAGGCGGAGCTCGCGCAGGCAAAATTGCATCTACTTGGAGGATCATGGGACTTAGTAACTAAGTAACTAGGGTTATAAATAAGGTGTCCATACTTGTAACTCCATTTCGGGTACTTATAACCTTACTTACTAAGTCCCATGATCCTCCAAGTACTACTAAATTGGGAGGTACAGGATCCCAGGGTTGCGTGTCTTTGAGGCCCAGGGGGAACGAAAACTAAGAAGGGGCATATAGGGTCTAATAAAGGGTAGATGGAGGGTCTAGGCTCATGCCTGGCAGACCTTGAGCTACAGCACGTGGTACTGCGAGGGGCCACGTTGGCAAAGATATTGGGGCCGGCACGGAGACTCCAAAACCCCTTACTTAAGGAATATACCTTAGTGGTAGTAGGATCCCTATACTACTCTTAGCATTTAAGGTGCATTCCCCAATTAAGGACATACCTCTTAAATTATGATAGTGATCCCGAACATCATTAGGAATTATGGTATATTCCTTAAGTAAGGGGTTTCGGAGTCTCTGGGATGGCTTTGTAAGTGAGGTCACAAGTACCCTGGTTGGAATTGCAAGTATAGTTACCTTATGATGAACCCTACCCTAAGGTCCCAAAGTAGTTCCTCTTTGGGGTTCAAATTTAGCATCCTAGGTAATCCCAAAAGGAACTACTTTGGGGCCTATGGGTAGCTGCTAAATCCCATGATCCTCTCTGCGGGGGCCGGGGCTGGTGCGGAGGTGAAGAACGACCTTGAGATGCTGCGTGGAATCTTGGCTGCCAGTTTCCTGGGTTCGGGGTGCACCCCAACACTTAGGGTTTAAGGTTTAGGGTTTCGGGTTTAAGGGTTTAGGGTTTAAGGGTTCAGGGTTTCGGGCTTTTAACTCAAAACTCTAAACCCTTTCATATAGGGGCCTAAATGATTACCTGTACTATTTTGGAGGGTTCCTTATGTTGAACAGAGAGAGAGAGAGAGAGAGAGAGAGAGAGAGAGAGAGAGAGAGAGCGAGAGAGATATGTGTGTATATATATATATACATAGTATAACGGGCCCTAATTATTAAGCCCCTACGTTACCTTAAACCCCTAATCTTCAAACCCTGCACCCTTAAATCCTAAAAACCGCTCCCTGGATAAGGGCCGTGAGCTGACGTGGCTCTCTGGGTTCAGCATGGGAGTGGTGTTGCGGGGCACAGGAAGTCACAACATGGCACAAGGTTTGAGCGCTTACTCCACCATCTGACCTCTTTTCTCAATATAGGAGTTTCCGAACATAGGGGACCCTAATATGCTACCCGAAATAAAAGGATCCTCATTATAATAAGGACCCCCAAATAAGGTACCCCTATTTTCGGAAACACCCATATTGTTAAACGCTTAGACACCAGGATGGGCTGACACATCATACCTAAGACCATCAGCTTCTGTGTGGGCTCTTGGACACCAACCCCTTGCCTGGAGTAGCCAGGGATTTGCACTTGCACGATTCCCAAACCAGTATAGAAAATTGCCGTTTGAAAGCAGTGTCATAACGCATAAAGAATCACCGAAAGAGGTGACACATAGTAAACAGAAACCCAAAGCGAGAGTGCATGGGTTTGTTTCAAAAGAAGCATCGAAATCCACCTGGACCCGCATAGAATTCCAGAAGGAAGCCTTGAGCAAGCCCAACAATACCCTTGTATTGTAATGCCCTATACTTGTAGCGCTTTTTCGTTATGATTAGTGTTATTGTTACTTTCACTGTACCTAATTATTATACTTGTTGTCATCATAGCATACCGTTGCATTACAGCACCCTTCTATAATCGTAGCCTGATCTCATGACGATTATTCTTACTGTAATTGTTACGGCCGGTATTGCAGTATCGCTGCCGTATCCCTAAACCCTGAGCTCTAAACCCTAAAAACCCTAAACCCCTAAACCCTAAACTCCTAAACCCTGAACCCCTACACCCCAAACCCTAAACTCCTAAAGCCTAAACTCCTCAACCCTAGACCATTATACTCGCTTCTGGTTTTGGTAATCCAAGGTGAGGGTCTCGGCCCGGAAGACCCGCAGATTGCGCTGAAACAGCGGCTCTTGGATCTCACGCCACCTGGGCAACATTAGGAGTCGGGTTGTAGGGTTTGCGGTTTAGGGTTTAGGGGTTTAGGGTTTAGGGTTAGGGCTTTGGGACATTTTACATTTGCTCTTATTGGGCTTAAGAGGATCATACCTACCAATATTATCAAAAAAGGCTCTAACAGCACCTCCTGGATTAGGAGTCTGGGTTTAGGGTTTGGGGGTTAGGGGTTAACATTGGAGTCGGGGTTTAGAGGTTTGGGATTAGGGGTTTATGGGGTATGGGTGTAGGGGGCAACATTTAGGAGTCGGGGTCTAGGGTTTGGGAATTAGGGGTTTGGGTTCAGGGTAGTTTCTACGGTTTAGAGGGCTTGTTAGGCTTTATAGGGCCTATAGGAGTCCGGAGAGTCGCGGGCTTGAGTTTGAAGCTTGCAGTGTGCTCGAAGGCTTCTTTATTGTGCTGGCGGGGCGGCAAACTTTCATACAGACTGGGCGTCGCGAAAAGTCAGGGGCCCCTGTTTGATATGAAGCCTAGTCGTAGAGTAGGGAACCCTTAACCTTTTTTGGGTAGTGTAGTCCCATGTAGTCCCTTTACACACCCTTCACCTTTTTTGGGTAGTGTAGTCCCTATACACTCCCTATATAGCCATAACGGTTAACCTTTAGTTCCCCATGACACCCGACAAGTAGGTAAGGGTCTTTCAGTAGGGCTGCGGTTGGTTTTATGGAGGGTTGCCGAAGTCTGGGCAAAGCTCTGACTTTGTGGTCTCTTCTTCGCGGGGTTATGCTATGAGCGGACACCTTGACCCCAGACAGCAAGAGTTTGTTTAATTGTCGACCAGAAGGGAAATCAGGCGGCTCACGCTGTTGTTCCGAGTTGCTGTTCATGCCCGTACACTTTGTCTTCAATGTGTTGGTGCTCAAGTCTACTGGCTATGCAGTAAATTTCTTTCAGTCATACATTGGGTGCACACGAGACCGTATTCATGGCCAAGGAAGAAGAATCGACGGCTGCAGGCGGGTCAGAACAGTGCACCGCGACAGCAGCCGACACCCAACTGAGACAGATCCACGTTCACACCACATGGATGAGCCTGTCACTGGTATGGTCGAAGCTTGTCCATCCTGAAATCCTACACCGCAAGCCCGAAGTTCCCCTTTCATCGGCGCAGGTGAGTGTGGATGGCCAGAGAGTGCGGCTTCAGCAGTTGGAGGTTGGCTGCAGAGTGGGGCTTCGGGGGTTCAGCGTTCAGGTTAAGGTTGCTAAAACTCTGAGACCTGGACTAAGCTTCTCCTCAGGCCCCATGTAATTACCTATATCGTTTTTGCTTGGGTCTCAAAGTACCTATACAGGAGCCCCTTGATTATCTAAGCATATACCACATGATATATGGGTGGTTGTCAAAATGATTGTTTTTTTGGGGTACCTTAAATATTAGGTGCCGTATTATAATAGGGACCCAAAAAGGGACCATAATTTTGACAAACACCCATATGGGTATATAGATGGTGCCTTCGGGGTAGCTTTGTGGATCCGGGATACGTCGGGTCTCAACTTCAGGGATTTCGGTTCCGGGCACCGTTGACTCGGTTGGCCTTTGGGACAGTATACAGTTTATAGATGTTTTCATATTGGGCCTGAGAGGGTTTAGGGTGTCGTGTTCAGGGTATTTGGGGTTTACGGTGGGACTTTCCCATATTAGCCTGAGAGCGGATCTAATTTATGAATAATGTCCAAAGGCTTCAAGAGGCCAACCTTCATGAACTTGCACGACTTGAAGCTTGTTGATAGCGCGAGAGATGCAGCTACTGCCAAATTCCGCTTATCTTCGCCTGGCTATCCTGCTGTGCCCTAGGCTGCAGTCTCGGGACCGTTAGGGTGCGGAAGGACAGCACATCTGGAGGTAGTGATACCTATGCCCCAAATGCCAAGACTAACTCCAAATGCCAAAAGCCTAAGCCCTCCACCCTAAACCCTAAGCCCTAAACCCATAAGCCCTAAGCCCTCAGCCCTAAACCCTGAGCCCTCAACCCTAAGCCCCAAGCCACTAAGCCCGAAGCTCACTGTGGCGAACTCCTGAAGTTGAAACCCCAACGGGTGAAGTGAAAGTGTTGATCAACCTTTTTTTCGCGAGCCCTAAGGCTTGAAGAGTCGAAATACCATTTCAAGGCTGTAAATACACTGATGCTCGGTAGGTTTAGGTGCCAAAAACCATTCAGGAGGACGGTGGTTGAGGCTTAAGCCCCGATAGTTTGGCTACTTGGACCCTCCAGGACTCTAGGGAATGCTTACAGCCTACCTCCCGTCGAGGCTGAGGCCAAGCGGCCAAAGGAAGAGGCCAAGAAATTGGCAGAGGTGGGTCCCGCTTGTGCCGAGTACTGCGAGCCCGCCTGGCAAACACAGGGTGGGGCGCGTAGTCGGTAATCAATGAGTTTCAGTTCGACGGCACTCAATTCGTGTTTTTTCCGAGAGTGTGTGAGAGAAGGGAATTATCTGACAGCAGCATCTTGCTTGCAAGACGCAAGTTGCCACATGTTTTGTTGACTCGGCAGCTTCCAGCGCTGCAGGAGATGGCCATGCAAAATGCGGCGCTCCTCTATGGCGAAGGAGGAAACGTAGAGGACCGCTGGTGGTTCTAGATTGCTGGTGGTTCTAGCTTGTCTTACTAGTTTTGTTTATGTATATATATATATATATGTATGGATATGTGTACATGCATAGTATAGGCAGGAATGTACATAGACGTTTGCAGATGACTCTGTGTGTGTGTGTATATATACATATATATATATATATATATATATATGCAGTGTGTTTTGGCATGAAAGTAAGTATCGCTGCCCGGTTCACTCGAGCCGTGTAGGGTAGGGCGCAGACGCAGTCGGCAGGTTTACAGGCTTTGATTTCGGGGAGGTCACGAACCCCTGACACAGCGTGTAAGCTGAAGCTTCAAAAGCCTTCAGCCATAGCCGTACTTAAAGGTTCATGGGACTTAGTAACCAGAGTTATAAACAAGGTAACTATACTTATAACTAAATAGGTGCACAGTTAAGGTACTTATAACCTTACTTACTAAGTCCCATGATCCTCCAAGTAGCCTGGGCCCTCCTCACTAGAAAGACCAGAGGCTACGTATTGGCCCGTCCTCCGTTCCGTGAGTGGAAACAGTAGAACTAAGACTTGCCGTTCCAGCAGGGCGACCCGAGCTACCAGTGGCCTTAGTTAGTTGCTGAAGCATGGAAGTTGAAGAGCGCCATCACACCAGGTTTTGATGTCTCAAAGATGAAAAAGGCCCGTTGGGCAACAACCTGCCCACAGATAGACGCAGGACTGGAAGAAGAAATACCTTGCGACTTCCAATCAGCTGCAGCAGGCCCGTCCGGAGGAGTTTTCCTTTGCTTTAATGGTTAAATCTGTGTGGCTCTGCGGTGCTCTGTGAAAGCAGGACCGGAGCTGTAATGAGGATCTGCTAGTTTGCTGTTAGCTGCCCTCTTTCTCCAGCTCCAAGTTCTCAAACTGGCCTTTGCTGAGCACATGTCCCCCAGCCGCGCCTTGTCTGTGGATCATTCTTACTACAGGGGTCTGAATAAGAAGTGCCAGTAATCCCGGGTTTAATCATGCTGTAACCCCATATAACTACTACGCTTACTACGCTGTACTATACCGCCACACCCTGTTCTAGTTCTGAAGCCGCCTACATCAGGTCGCAGGTTCAGACCACAGCGACATGAATGTGACAGACAGCCCGTCGCCAACAGGTGCGCCACGAGCTTCAAGAGCTCCGTACCCAAACCCAGAAGCAGAAGAAGGCCGCGAATATGAGATGTTGGAGTAATTGCAATTTAATTAGAAAGGGGATTGTAAGGGAATACTACGACTCATGATGTACGTTTTTGTTTATATCAGGGGTTGTCACGGTATCGTTGGGCTTTTCGGAGGTTTCCATGTTCTTGTGAGGGTGTAGGAGCAACTAGTAATAGTTATGCCTTATGGTCCCTATGTTACTATAGAACCGGAACAGGCCCTGGTACTGGCAATGGCAAGCTCCTTGTATAGCAGGAGCACTTGCTTTTCCCGCTGTGCTTTTCAATCGTTGCGGTCGTCGGTTGTCAGAGCTTCCAGAACAGCTTTCAGAACTACAGTGCAGCAGTGGTGCCTCATCTTTTGCGACGATATCCATCTGTGATAGTACTCCACTGGTGACAGGTTCTGATGAAGGAGTTGGGCACAGATGAGAGCATCCAGCAGGCGGGATCCGCGCAACAGTTCGACAGTCTGAAGTGCTACGTAACTACATCGCGCGCAGAAATCCTCGGGCCCGAGGGTTACTCAACTGCTGTATTTGGTGCTGATTCGTGCTGCAATGCAGTACTGACAGATGAGCCGCCCGCATACCGTACAGTTCAGGGTTACTCAACTGTTTTGTTTATGCTTTTGTTGGTTCGGCGGCTGCTGCATGAGTTGCCACCCAACTGCTGGATGAACATCCAGAACCAAAGTTGTACTCTCAGCATGAAAAGAGCAAAGCCAGCCACATTGACATACTTGGAAGTTCGTGGGACGTGGTAATACAAATTATACATATTAGTGATGATTACTTATACCCAACTATGCCAAGTCCCATGATGCTACAAGTAGGCCCTAAACGCTATCATAGACGCTAGAGCCGTGTAGATCGGGAACCCTTATATAAGGGGTAGGCAGACAGCCGCAAGAGAGTTTTGCATGAGCATGTGCACAGCAGAAATGAAGGCCAGCCTCTAGATCCGGCCACCATCAGTTTGATGATTCGCCCATCGACTATGAAAGAATATACTACACACATATATACATACATACATATATACATATACATATACATATACATACATATGTATATATATATATATGTATATGTATATATGGATGTATGTATATACATATATATATATATATTATCTCTCGCTCTCTCTGTCCGTCACCCTCTCTCGCTCTCTCTCCATCTCGCTCTCTCTGGCTCTCTCTCTCTCTCTCTCTCTCTCTCTCTCTCTCTCTCTCTCTCTCTCTCTCTCTCTCTCTCTCTCTCTCTCTCTCTCTCTCTCTCTCTTTATGTACATATCTACATAACCCATAATGTACTGCCACATATTTATGTATATATATATATATATATATACCAGTATATATATATATATATATATATACATATATATATATATATATATATATATATATATATATATATTAGCATACTGTAAACAAGAAGTGATATATCTACATGCGTATACATATATATATATATGTGTGTGTGTATATATATATATATATATGCATGTCTGTATATGTCAATCAGAAGGTTTCTGCTTTGAACAGCTCCTACGCTGTGTCGGAGTCGGAGTCCCTGTAGGCCATGGCGGTCGCAGACGACCCTTTGGCCGTTCAGTGGAAGGGTCGCGCCGCGCAGATAGCTCTTCGGCTGCAAGTACTCTTGCTATCTCAGTAACTCTTAGCAGCTCAGTAGGTAACCGTGGCCCTCACTACGCCCTAATTTCCGTAGTTTGAATGGCTAACCTTTCTTTGGGCCATGAAACTCAGCATCTAGGGTAGTATTCTACTGCCCTTTTGAACAAGGATTATCGTAACCATGATCATCATTGTTGCTGCGACTACCTCTGAACTATTTCTTTTCTGTTGTTCTCCAGTACCACGCTGTCGCTTTAAGCCCTAAAAACCCTCCAATCCACCGCAACAACCATGATCCCCCCGCCTCACTCCTCAAACCTTGGAAAAAGTTAATCCCCGTAAGCCGCGGTCATCATAACCCCGCTAGGCCTCTATGAAACCTATTGCTTACGAATCCTAAGTCCTAACTTGCCTAAACTCACTGGAATCCAGAAACCCTAAGTTCAGCTCAGCAACATGCCACACGCTCCACAGCCTGTCTAGAGTGTAGAGTTTTAAACACCCTGCAAACCCACTTAAACCATACACCCCAATTCTAGCTGTTATTTAAGAAGCCTTCGGTCTCATTATGCCAGCGTAGCTCCCCGAGCAGAGAAAGAGCACCACGACGACCCGACCCAAAGACCACCAGCAGACCACGAAGAGATCACCAATAGACCACCAAGGAACCAGCAGGAGACCACTTGGAGATGCCGATTCAGAATCACTGCCAATATGCTTTCCCTCAAGCACTGGCGGGATTCTGGGAGATTTGGGCACTGCCACAAAACTGCTTTCCTTCAAGTACACTGGCACGATTTAATTTAGGATGAGCAAAATGTCTCAAGGTGGTGCCCCGCTCCCCGCCCCCGAAAAGTACATGCCGTGTCTTGCAATGTGCATTGAATCTGGTTCGGCAGCCCTAAACCTAAACCCTAAACCGTTTCCAGCGCATCGCGCCACACGCCTCGTCGAATGATTTTTCGCGCTCGGGCGGGGAATCCGAACGTGAGTAAGCCACAGTGGTAGCACACCGTCTCGGGGGGAAAACAGCATGGGTTTCGCCAAAGTCTATGCACCCTGAAGCCCAAGAGATTTGCAGGGTTTGGGTTCGGAGTTCCTGCCTAATTCCAAGGCACAGCTGCAGCGACAGCTCAAAGATTTTAAGGCGGGTGCGGGCAGTTCGGCGTGAAGTTACAGCAAACTCAGGGATATGTTGTGCAGGGGTCTCGTTTGGATCCGAAGTCCGATTTCCGGCGTGATTTGTGCAGGTTCTTCAAGACTCCAGCGTTGCTATGTGCGTTTTGTAATAGTGAAGTTGTCCGTGCAACAACTGTTTAGGTTCTGTGGTATGGTTTTCTGTTTTCTGCAACTCTTATTTCAGCGTGAGTTTGCGCCACCCTTAACCCTAGCAGCCCAAACCTTCAAAACACAAAGCCTCTATCCACTGTAGCAGCAGCAGCAAAGCTTCCTTATAAACCGTAAGCCTTAAGCCGTAAGATATCCTTACGGTCCTGAGCCCGACATACGTAGCGCGGCAAACCCTGCAAACCGTGGAGGCGTCCTCGTGCACAAATGGCGGCACACCCACTGCCCAGGTCCAGGTGCCCACAGGGTCAGCTTTAGACCTTGGCTAAGTTCTGTGCTTAAGGTGGGAGTACTCTAGAGGCTGTAATAATTACCTATACTAGTCGTGGTTCCTTATTATAAGTATAGTATAATGGGCCGCAAAACTCTATTGTAGTTATTAAGGCCCCTATTGGGGTTGGGGGAATCGGGCTTAGTATGATGTGCTTGTGCAGGTGATATGGGGCTGCAAATGACATTCTGGAGCTTGCGCACTTGGTGATACCAGGGCAGGGGCAGAGAGATTTGCTGGATGTTTCCCAAGTGGTGGTTTCTATGCACAATGCACCTGCTGTAGTTAATCCTGATGTCGCAACGAACTTCGAAGCTTTAATGTAAGGGCCGTGATAGTTACCTGTACTATTTTGGGGGTTCCTTAATATGACGACGGTAAAATACATCCTCCAAACCCTATTCTAATTATTACGGCCCTACAGTTTTGCCTGTGGCACGAGTTGCCTCAAAGCATGCCGTTTTTTTGCAGGAATCGGCCGCGACCCTCGCGCCGGCTGTCGCGGCGGCGGCCAAGAACAAGGCGAACCGCCGACTTTTATCCGTTTTTGCTGTGGATTGCCTTCGCAGAGGATGCAGGGAGTTGTAAGCATGATAAACCATGGTGTCAATCAGTGAGTCGTGGACTGCCCCCTGATCCGCGGTGCCGCCTCTTCACCCGGATGAGCACGAATGTGCTGTTCAGCATCACGGGCCCATGGTTTGACCTCAACTTCTCAACCCTAAGCCCTAAACCGAATTCGAAGCCTAGAATGCCCTAGGAAGCCCTAAACCCTAAGCCCACGGCAAACCCTAGCCGGCTGCTGCTCGCCTTGAGTCACCCTCTACCAATTTCTGCCAGCGCCACTTTACGAACAGTCACCACCTGTAGCGTCCTTTGTGGTTCCTGTTCGTTGGATTACTTTGCTTTGTACTATATCATCCTTACACTGAAGTTGGGTAGCCTACAAACGGAACTAAAATGGAGACTACTGGTATGCCGCAACATCTCCGAGCTTTCAACGTGATAGGCAGTCGCTCAAGCAGCCGACAAGCGGCGGGAGGAGTTCGACCGCCTGCAGGTGAGCCTTGTGGACGGTCGGTGCGTGGATTTGACCAGGGGTGCCTTCGGTGCTCTTCAGAGCATTGTGAGAGATGCACACAACGGAACCCTAATTCTTCCTGGATTGGGGAGCTCACCCCCAACTCACTGCTTCTGGACTGCGCCACCTCCTCGCAGAAAACAAGACCTCACATAGTGTTTCAGGCACCTGAAAATCTGGTGACAGTTGCTTGGGTCGCCTGAGGCTTGCTGCCTGGCTGGTTGCGAGGTTTTTGCCAGCTTGCTATGTGTTTTGCTGACTCTAAACCATAATCAGAATCTATCCCTAGACCCTTATCCCTAGGCTCTGCTATAATCCCGAAACCCTAAGGCCCAGAAGCTCTGAGTCAGGAAGAGGTCGAGAAACTGCGGCAGGAGCAGACCGAGGCTGCACAGTGGAGGGACGAATGCGGACTTTGAATACCTGGGGTACTTTTGGTAGTTTAGGGTTTAGGGGTTTTGGGGTACTTTTGGGGGTTAGGGTTTATTCTGTAGGGTTTAGGGTTTGGGGGTGCAATATTTAAGTTGCCCAGTAGCACCCTTTCGCCCAATTACCATTGTTGCTACGGGACTGCTCAGGAGCCTGGGATATTTTGGGGCATACAAATATGGAGGGAGATGCGGAGTTTTTGGCCAAACGAAGTTGCCCTTCAGAGGATGTAGCCCACAAAGTCTCCTAGTCCGCCGAATTTCCAGAGTCCCCAAATGGCGTTGCCGTTTGCTACTACTCCTTGTTTCAGCATCGCCTGGACTCTCTCTCTCTCCCTCTCCCGCTCTCTCTCTCTCTCTCTCTCTCTCTCTCCCTATTGCTCGCTCTCTCTCCCTCTCTCTGCGTCTCTGCCTCTCTGTGCCCGGCCAGTGCAAGCGAAAGCGCGATGCTTTGAAGTCCTGGCCTTAGCTGGTTCTGATGATCCAACATATCTGGCTGCTTCGAGCTTCCGCCGGGCTGCATCTGTGAAGTTTGCCAGACCACGCCGGCGCACGACACCAGCTGGCGTGACTTGTACGCCCTAAACCCTGAATCAAAACCTAAGCCCTTACCTGTAGCCCCAAACCCTTTAGGTTCTAAATCTTAACTATAGGGTATAACCCTTAACCGAGAAGGTTATGTATTGGAGACTCCAGGTAGTCCATACTGAGCCTTACCTTAGGCTCTACACCCTTCACCCAGACTCCAGTCCAAGGTCGCGTGCTGGGTTGCTCGAGTCGCAGCTACGAGACCTCAAGGCAGTGTTTTTCTCTGTGGATTGCTGGATTTTGGGCTCGGCGGTTTGGGGTTTGGGGTTATGTGGTTTATGGTTTTCGGGCTTAGGGCTTTAGGGCTTTAGGCTACGGGTCCCAGACACTCTCGATGCCACGCCTTAAGGACCCTTTCGAAGGTCTTTGTGTATTTGCTTAGTTATTAAAGTGGTTTTGTATTTTTTAGGTTGAGGTACTTCTGTTGGTTGATTGTAAAACAGGTAGTTAATAGCTTGCTTTTTGGGTATGAGACTTGAAAGGGACCGTAATTCAGAGCAGCTGCTTCTTCGTCTGACCGCCCCAAGTGGCTGTGTTGTGTATATATACAAACATAAGCTCAACAAATGTAAGCATGTAATTACGGCCAGTATCAACGGCAATATTTGTGAACATGTATAGAAGCACAGTTGTGTTGAGGTCACCTTGAAGCTGCAGAAGGCCCAATGGACCTTCGATAAAGGGCCAGAGCCGCAGTCAATGCCCAGAGGTACCCCTGAATTTAGGAATGTGCCTCAGATTATGCGCCAAGGGTAAAAGTAGGCAACACTGAGGTACTTGGGTTTCAGATACTCGTTATGCAGGTTAGTACGTCGGAGAGTATTTGTTTATTAGGTTTTTGGACCCTTCGGGTACAGGGATGGGCACTATGGTTTAAGGAATATTCCGCAGGCTCTCTGGGAAAACTATCAAGCAATAGCAGGCTCACGTGCAGTTCCTCCTCCGCAAGAGCGACGACGACGATGCGTTGGTGTCGTGACTTGCTCGAACAAACTGTTTTTCAGTAATACTGGCTTAGGGTTTAGGGGTGTTTTTGTCTCCTTGACAAGATGCAGAAACGCAGTCAGGGAACACCTTTCTCAAGCTTCTGCGCCCCCAAGGATGTTGCAAAAGCAGCTGGGTCGCGAGGCACCTTGTCAGCACTTCAGAAGGGTAGTTCTCTAAACTAGGGTCCGTTTTAAGGTCTTCTTTTGGTAAGGGGGCCGTACTATATTGGGGACCTAAAGAGAAACCCTAATTTTCAGAACTAGCCAGAAAGCAAAGCTTGGAGTCAGTAGAACATGATCTCCACAATCTACATAGGCACAAATACAGGGTGAGCATGATCTGAGAGCGCAATGCAACCTACCGAGCCGATGGCTCTTGTGAGCAATGTCCTTTGAGACTCCTGCTTGGAGGATCATGGGACTTAGTAACCAGGGTTATAAATAAAGTAGCTATACTTATATAACTCCCACTAGGGTACGTATATCCTTATGTACTAAGTCCCATGATCCTCCAAGTAGACCCGAAACCCCAAGGGCCACGCGAGCCCCTGCCCCTGCGCAGGATGCAGAGTTCCAAGAAGATGCAGGACTCAGGGGTACCTTATTTTGAGCATTGGGGGGTTCTTACAATAAGCATCCTACTATTTTGCATGCTATATTAGCCCTATTTTGGGGGGTCTCGGACCGTAAGAAACGGCGTTTAGATGTGCAGTGTCAAGGTGCAGGTGCAGCAAGGTGGCGTTTCAGTCGACAAGACCTAGTAGGGTAGCATAGTCCCTATATAAGCCCTATAAAACCAAAAAGGTTAACCTTTAGTTCCCCATGACACCCGACAAGCAGGAAGACTTTTCTGCAGCTTAGCACATCTCTTTGCCGAAGCCACGGGTGCCTCCGGGTTCGCGTACCTTAGCCTTAAAATTCTCTGCCTCCGTTACCACTTACAATGAGCCCAAGCCGCCATGACATGAGCCCTAGAATAAAATAGTACTAGTAGTAAGCAAAAGTAGCAAGAATACCAGGCCCTCCTTGTACCCTCAAATAGTGGTATATGGTCCCAAATAAGGGGCATTTGGCTTCTAACAGAGGGTAGATGGAGGGTCTAGGTAATAATAACAATAATAGTACTAGCTACAGGCAACAGTAATAATAACAATAAAAGTAACCCTAAACCCTAAGTAATGTTCCCTCACTTGCAGCAGGAAGCGATGCGGCGCTGCGGCAGCAGAACGCGGAGCTCCAGGTCGCCCACCGACACGACACGAACAAAGAGCCCAAAGGGTCCAACTAGGGTTTAGGATTTAGGGTTCAGGGTGCAGGATTTAGGGTTTAGCGTTTAGGATTTAGCGTTTAGGGTTAGGTAGGGCTTCGGGACATTTTATATTTGCTCTTATTGTGCTGAAGAGGATCTGATTTGCTAACATTTTTTAAGCTGCGTTAAAAGCAGCTCCTGGCCAAGTAGTCGGATAGAATATACTCTTGGGACCAAATACGTACGAAGTACCTACTGTGATGAATGGTACTTGGACCCTTTGGGTAGTTGCTGCGCTGAAGTACACGGTCTGACCAGATTTCTCCTTTAGATCTCCTCTTTCTACGGCTTCAGCCTTCCCTGTCCAAACCGAGTCTGGGAGCGTCGTTCAGCATGGTAAGAAGGCTGTACACTTACACGGCGTCGTCGCCGGCGCTCCTACTGCTTGCTTGCGGCTGGCTGAAGCATTTTGCTTATTTGCTGAAAGCTTCATTTGCACCCCGTGCAAGTATATTGTGCAACATGTCCCTAGAAATCCTACTCATGTGTTAAAAGCCGCTTCCCCTAGCTTGAGGAGTGGCTTTCTCTTTTCTCCTCAGGCGCAGCTGGAGCGGCAAGCACAGATCGTTCTGCAGCTGAGGCTGAGCCTGAACCAACTCTGATGCTCGGGGCCACGAGTCCTCAGGCATTTAAAAAATCTACGTTGCTGTATGTGTTTGTGGTTCAGGTTTAGGGCTTACTGCAAGGACAAGGATGATTGCGTAACCACAACCGTTGAGAGGACATTTTGTCACAACCATTATAGTATTATATTGGATTGTCTGGTACAGTAGTACGAAAGTATGCAATGGGTTCTGTCGAATTTACCTTTAGTCACTATGAAATAATACTAATAATACGAAAAATTAAGAATACCAATAAATAATAGTAACAACTAGACTTACTATACTAGTGGGCTGACTAGCCGAATTAAGCGATAACTTCGCGACCAGGCAGAAGGCGCTCGCAGCTTCCTGTGAGAACGGCTCGGTACCACTTGGGCCAAAGACACTCGGCAGCTGCACTAATCCCATCACACGGGTCATCTTCGTAACGTAGTTCCCTCAAACTCGAACCTATAGGTCTGTCATATTCGTCTTCCCCTAAACCTAAACAGTCTGACCCTCGTTTCATGCCAGGGCCTTGCTTGTACCTCGGACCTCTGTCTGGTTCATTACGGGGTGGACGGAGGGTGTAGGGGCCTTGTTATGAGAATGGGGTGTTATTGGAAAAGCAGGAGTACAAGCCCTATGCCATGCCTGATCCCTAACCTGAACCCTAGACCCCGTTTATCCCATGTACTCACATATGAATGTATGTGCGTGTACTATATACATGTAATTACACATACATTTACATATAGATATACACTTACACATACAAATACAAATACGTACACATATACAATTACACACATAATATGTGTATGTGTATGTCTACATATATATATATATCTTACACATACTCATTCTCGTTTTATAGAAACAGGAAGCCATGCCTTGAGGAGCGTCGAAGCATCGGTGACCGAAAGGCAGCTCCTGGAGCGAGTGCGCTTCCTGGAGGCCCAGGGGCCTTGGTGCTTTTCTTACTTTTGGTTACTACAAGGGATCTATAAGGGAGTTTCCGAAAATTAGGGGGTACCCTATTTGGGGGTCCTTATAAAGGGGTCTATAAGGGTTACTGTAAGGGGTCTATAAGGGTACCATAATATAGGGGCCTTAGTAATCCTATAACATACCTTTGGTTAGTAGGGAATGGAGTTCTAATTCTACCCCATTCCTCCATTCCCTACTATAGCCAAAGTTAAGCTTTCGGGTATCATAATACCGGGGTGTAGGGCCTTAGGGCTCGGAGTTTGTATAGGGTTTATAGGGCGTATCGTGCGCTTCCTGGAGTGGCTCGGAGGGCTCTTCGGGCTTTAGTGCTTGTAGGGTTTATAGGGGGGTTTAGGGTATTATGCTACAGGGTTTAGGGTTTTAGGGTAAGGGTTTTAGAGTATAATATAGTTGTGGCTTTATAGGGTCTTGGGGGGGTTTAGGGTTTAGGGTATAATTACTCCTACAAGGTTGAGGGTTTAGGGCATGATGGCTTTCTAGGGTCTTTGGGGGCTTTAGTGTTTAGGGTATAATACATGATAAAAGGTTTAGGTTTAGGGTTTATAGGGCTTGTGGGGTTTATAGGGTTTGGGGTTTAGGGTCAATGCTATAGGGTTTAGGGGTTTAAGACTTTTGGGGATTATAGGTTTGGGGGCATAACAATGCAGAGTTTAGGGCTCATAGGGTTCAGGTCTGAGGGGTTCAGGGCTGGTAAGGCTCTTAGGGTTTTAGGGCTTGTAGGGTTTAGGGTACGGGTTTAGGGTTTAGGGTTTGCAGGGTTTCTAGGGCTTATCGGCTATATGTAACTAGACCAGAACGTTTAGGCTTTGAGGGTTTAGGGTTAGAGAGCTTGCAGGTTTCGCGGGGTGTGGGATGTGTTCAAGAAATTCATCGGGTACGCAACCACAATAATATTGCACTGCAGGGGAGTTACAGCCCTTGAAGTCTCGCTTTCGTGCAGATTGACGTGACTCGTTCCAGGCGGAAAACGCCAAGCAAGCGCAGCAGGCAGATTGCAGATTTTGGCATCGGGGTAGTTGGGAGTGTTTCCTGAGTTCAGTTTGAGGAATTGGGGGGGGTGTCTCGCTGTACCGCATATGGAGCTGTGCATGGTCATGTGATCCAGGCGCAATTCTCTTTGGATTCTGATGGATTCTGGTCCTCATCTGAAGCAGTGTTGGGCTCTGACCCTAAACCATAAACCCTATACCATGAACCCTGACCTTTATAAACCCTACAGAGCCCTGTCTCTGTTCAGGTTCAGCTCTTGAAGGCCCGCGAGGCCCGCGGTCGGGGCTCAGGGGGTTTCGGGTTACTACCCTAATTCCCCAAAGTAGTTCCCTTTCGGGGTTCATATGTAGAATCCTATAAGGTACTCCCCAAAAGAAACTACTTTGGGGCCTATGGGTAGAAGGGTTGCAAAAAGTGTCGCGATGAAGCCTGAGAGTCACTATGAGTCTAAGGGTACTTTAAGTGTTTCGTGCGCTGGGCCGTGCTTGGGCAGAGTTTTGTAGGAAGAGACCGGATCTCTCAGTGCATGTTGTGTCCACACCAGCATCTGACACCCCAAACCCTAAATTTCGTGTTTGCAAGGAAACTCCGACCGCTTCAGGCAGTCGGCGGATCTTTCAACGAGTCCTCGTCCAGCTTCCGCGACCACTTCAGGCACCGTCAGTCCGATAAGATGTCCGTTTAAAGCTCCTTATAACCATGCTAAAATATGCCCGCGAAGCTTGGTTGTAAGTGCTAAGGCCTCCCCTTAGACTGTGGATGGGGATGTAGCAGTAATTGTAGGAATACTTGGTAGTACCTGTGGTGAGGATATGTGGGGACCACATGCGATTCTACAGGTCTCAGCGGCAGCTGCCTCTGGAGATGTAGGATCATCTGCGCAATCCTCCTGCCGTCTGCAGCCAGGGATGCCGTTGACGTAGCAGACAGATGAGGGGCGCAACGACAGCCGCCTTCTCACCACCTCTTTACTGTAGCTGCTAGGTCATGCCGGACGTTGTTTCTCGTGGCCATTGCAGTACGTAGTGTGCGACCGCACGTAAGATCTGTAAGATTGCGGGATCTCTGCTGGGAGCGGTGAAGACAGCTTGGCAAACTTGGGAAACAGTGCTGGCATGAGATTGGCAGTGTTCCGAACAGAGACCTTGAATGATTCCCAAGGTCCTACGATTCCACCGAACGAAACATCGTAATTGCATTCCCGGCGTCTTATGCCAAGTTGGAACAACTGCCTTGTCGACTCAATTCGTGTCTCACAGCACCGTGTAGGCCACAGCTTGCCCGATGCTGTCTCGTGCAGAAGTCCAACAGTTCAGTCCTTTTTCCGATTCCGGCCCAAGCAGGTGCGTGCCGTTATTGACACCGGCATCGCGGCAAGCTCGCGTCTCACAACACAGTGTCGTCGCATTGCTTGCTCGCTGAACTGGCTAAACTAAACCCTGAACACTCTAGGGTTTAGGGTTCAGCAGCTATGAGCGGGTATAAACATGTCTAGTTCAGCAAGGAACGACCACAGACGCGCAGTGACATGCATGCAGGAAAAGCAGTTGTGTGTGGTTTGTTCAGAGATCAGCCTCAGGAGTTGTGGTAGGCGTGTGCTGCCAGAGTTTCGATGGGTGCTTCGGATTCGTTGTAATTTATTCGTGTATTTGTGATGAAGCGCCCTTTCGGCTAGAAGTGGGGTTATGCCCGGGAATCCGGAGTCAGGGTATCAGAGAGCAGCTGCAATGATGGTGCATACTTGCGAAAACTTGGGTACGGCCCCCACTCAGTAATAGTTGAATAACATCCATAAAATAGATATATCAGGACCTTAATATTAGCCCTATTTTGGACTTTTACTGTATGGGCGCAGCACCTAAGGGAAAACCATCAAAGTAAAATGGCAGCGAGCCTGAGATTCCGTTGCTTTTTGAGGCTCAGCTGTGAGTTCTCTTAGGGGTCCTGCGTGCGGCGGGGCCCTATAGGCGGCTGTGAGGCTCCGCACCCTCTCCTTGTGACGAGTTTGTCCAGATCCTTGACGTCTTCTGGACTGCATATTTACAACATATGTAGATCACTATTGTTGCTATGGTTATTGTTATTATTTATCATTGTTACTTGGTTGTTGTTATTATTTGTCATTGCTACTCGTCTGACTAGTATTTTTCATTATTGCTACCAGTATTAACTACAGCTGGTGGAAGTGAAGATGATGGAGTGGAAGGGAAGGCTTTTCGGGTGCAGGGTTACGTATAAGAAGGTTTTTGCTTTCGCTGCATGCCGCTGCATGCAAAAACGAAGGCGCGTGCGATAGCCCCGCTTATGATGGATTCCACAAGGTACCTCCAGTCTTTATATTCGAGGTCTTTTTTCAGCACCTCATATCCTAAATACGGATATATCGATTCGGCTTGAACCACAAATCAAACGGCGACGAAGACGGAAGGTCGAAGGGGGAGGGGGGGGGGGGCCACTGAGACCCTTGTCAGATGCTTGGACATCCTTCCCGCACCCTCCACGCCTACGCCTGACAGTGAGAAAGCCACCAACCAGAATCCTCCTACTGTAAACCTGGTAACCCCCAAACCGCAACACCCCAAATTCCGCCCAGAACACAACCACCAAAAAAACCAGAGAAACATCGGAGCAGGCCCCGATTTTGCTGCCATGGCGCGAAGAGTCTTCAGACCGATGATGCTGCCACTGGCGATGCTCCAGGCAGCGGCTTCATCATAGAGATTGTTATTACGACTACTCTTATTCCTGTTTCTCCTTATTGCTTGTTTTACTCTTACTGTTAATACTATTACGATTACTGTCAGTACTGCTCCCTTTGTACATCTCCCTGTTGCCCAGTCATGCTAGGTCGTCTGCAATGCATGTAATACCATAGAAACAGGAGTCCGAACAATTAGTAGCATGATTCCTTGGCCGTCCATACAAGCGACAATGCACCATAAGAGCCTGTTCTGAATATTGAGGATCCTGTCGTTGCAATCAGGTTGCTTAGGAGGAGCCTTGAAGGAATCATCCATACCAAGCTGTAGCATGGCGCCGAAGCGCCGATCGTCGGACATCCGTTATAGACATTCTATTTTTAGCCGTTTCGGTTGAGATTGGCGTTCTTCCGCCTGTGACCTGCAAATTGTTATCAAAAGGCACTTCATTCCAAAATCACAGCTTGTTATTTAAATTCTGAGCACGCTTTCGCCAAGAATGCCGTCTGCCCACGCAGAGTAGTTACATTACGGACTTTTGTGCCAGGAGCTGTTGGCATTGCAAGCACATAGATCATGAATCCTTGTACAGGTTTACAGGGTCATTTCGGGGCTTACGCTTGGATGTTAATGTCCAAGGTCAGGGAGTGATATCATTGCAGACCAGGGCCGATAACTTTGTCAAGCTAACTTGTTCTAGGTGTGGCTGCCGCAAAAGGGCGGCTGGGATCAATCGGACACAACCTGCATGTATGAAGTGTACTGTGCTCGTCAATGTATAATGCAAGGTACACTGATGCAATACTTGCAATGGGTGTATGTATGTGCGTGTGTATACATATATATATATACATATAAATATATATATATATATATATATATGATATTATATATATATATATATATAGTTATGTTTATAGTTATATATATATGTATGCATATATATATATATATACTTGTGCAAATGCTGGTGCACATATGTGTATATACATATACACATGCGACCCGGAGAGTGTTCGCCTGAATTGAGAGAGCCTCGCGTGTACGCGCGCGCGCATGTGCAGCAGGCCTTCTTCATGATGGCACTTAGTGGCCTGTGGCTGTGGCTCTTCGGCGTGTGCCTGGGCCAAGAAGCTCTTGAAGTGGAATACTATAGCGGCCTCCATCATTACCTCTTATACTATCCTTATGATAATGTATAGTATGCTGGGCCGCAAAACCCTAGTCTATTTATCAAGGCCCCTATTGCTAGTGCTCTCTTTATGCAGCTGCCGCAGCAGCAGAAACGCCAAAGACTTGTATTGGACTAAGTGTGTGCTGCGAACAGAACTGACGGCCGCCGGCACTGGATACTGGACTGCAGCATGGCATGTGCAACATTAGACGATTTGAAGTGATGCTTTGCTGACTGGTGCTACTTGTAGCTAGTTAAAGCTTTTGCTCGGGTGCCGGTGTGCAAGCTTCCATCAGTAAGGCAGGCGAGTCACTGCTTGGGGTGAGTGTGCTGCCTTTTACAAAACCGGAGAACAGACTACATGTTCGGACAGCCATGCCGTCCAGCGCGTGCTGAACCTGAGCATTTGCCTGGCTAGGTTTTGGACATTCATGGTCATCGAGCTGCCAAAGGACCTATGATTGCCCCTGTCAGAGCATCTCGGATCACTTGGCCCGGATTCTAGATCTGAGTGCCTGTTCCAGGGTGGAGAGCCCGGGATTCCGCATTTCAGAAGCCGGCGCGCCAGGACCTGGGTCCCTACAGTCAGATGAGCTCGCTGTCCATGTTCCTGATGCGAGCCTTCCCAGCCGCCGGACCCAAGGAGTCTTTCTGGATGTGCACAGCCATCTACCCTCGGTTGTTCCGTAATTTTTCTATGGTTTGGGATCATATATCCTGGTTGAGTTTGAGGGAGCAAGGAGAATCCTTGCAGAGATCCTTTCTGCATCGATAGAGACATGAGTCCCGTTGCATCTGCGGTCTTTTGTCCTGAGAACTGGTAACATCTGAATAAGGGTCTGATTAAAGTATTTGCTTATAGTCCCAAGACAATGACAGCATGAAAAAATGTAGTCCCTGGCACCATATCACAAGTATGAAGGTCCCGTTATTAGGTTCGCTGTAGCTGGTCTTGGAGCCTTTGTAGCATTCGTTGGGCACGTAGCAGACGGAGTTTGCCATTTGTCGTTTTACCGTATCAGTGACGAAACAAGAGCTACTTCGGTGAAAGCATTGATGCATCAGCTTGCTGAGATGAAAGAGACCAACGATGTCAGCTACGAGTTCAAGTTTGACCATGTGCTGATACTCGCGAGGGTCTCAGCAACCGCTCAAGAGCAAGCCAATGTGGCCGCGGGCGGATCCGAAGCCCCATTCTACTTGCAAAGGCCCGAATCATAGAGCCGTTACAGTAGCCCCTCTCGTGAACACTATGCTAGTGAAGTCTTGCTTCGACTTTCGTTTCTCCGCTCTCCATTCACACTGTAGTATCAGCATGAAGGATCCTGAGTCGATGAAGCAGCCGGGTATCGGGTCTAGGACTATTTTGCCGGAGAGGTGCGCAGATGGGTCTTCTGAGGGTGAGGCCCTACTTCATCGCACCATTCTAGCGAACAGGCGCTTCAAGACATGGCATGACAAAGGAGCAAGGATGGACTCACCTGTCATGGAAGAGAGCAAAATATTCAGTCATTACAATATACACTCCTATAGCACTGGCATTGATGGATTACATGCGTAGCTGGCTTAGCTAAGGTCACATGGCGTCGTGTGACTGAATGCTTTCTGTGCATTGACAATTCAAGCATGCCGTGGTCGAGACCGTAAAGACAAACCAACCCATGGCGGAAACCTTGAAGCTGGAATCCTCAAATCCTTCGCAGTTCCTCAAGTGTTAAACACCTTCACAAGGAAACTTAGATAGCACCCGTCAAGATGTCTCGTGGAACCCTGAAACCTTGAAACCCTAAACCTTAAACCGTAACCCGAACCCAGGCCTGTGTCTTTGTGATCATGATGATGGGGTGGGCTCCGACGAGGCAGGGATCTCTGCCAGAAGCCCGCAAGACGCCAAAAATCAAAAGGGTTTAATATAGGGGTTAAATAATCAGAATAGGGAATAGGGTTTGTTGGGTTCCCTTTAGGTACAGCATAATATATATATATATATATATATATATATATATACCGCCTAACCCCATTCTAATTACCCTTATAGATCCCGTTAGCGGAACCCTTATAGATCCCGTCAAAGGATGCCTTGTGTAGATCCCGCGAGCCGCGGGTCGCAGGACAGAGATCGAGGAGGAGGATGACAAGGAGCTGGCCAAGGCTCCTTCGAACACAACAAAAGAAACAAGGCCAATAGAAATACAAATAATGTGTACCATACAGATATATATATATATATATATGTATAATGTGCACATGGATCTGTATGCATGCACATATGGGTGTGCATATATATATATATATACACATAATTGCATACATATACATATATACATATACACATACATACATACATATATACATACATACTCATACATTACGGGCTCCACACGGGTTCCACAGCGGTCGCTATACGGGCTCCGTTCAGTTTCTACAACGGATTCTGCTGGGCCGCGGGTTGGGTTCTCTAACTTAGCGTCCTTTTTTTGGGTCCCTGTTCTATTGACTGTGATGCACTTGTGCTCGTTGGAGTTCCATGAAGTGTAGGGGGCGATCTTGCATTCTTGAATTCAGGGTGTTTTTTGGTGGGATCTTGCGGTTTCACTGGGGTTGCTAGTGTCCGAACCCCTTCGTGAAGAAACCCTGCGGGAATCGATCCCGCGATTTGAGGTTTAGTTTAGGGTTTGGTTTGTTTTGGGGTTTTAGGGTTTAGGGTTCAGAGTTTTGAGGTTTTAGGCTTTAGGGGTTGGGGCTTTGGGTGTTAGGTTTCAGGGCTTTAGGGGTTTAGGGGTTTGGGCTTCAGGGTTTTGGGGTTTTACAGGTTTCAGAAAGTAGCTTGGGTCTTATATGGCATTGCGAATTTGACTATGTCGTATCTATGTGAGTGTGCCATCCCTGTATCTTCACCTCCCAACAATCCCTTAAACCAACGCCCTAAACGCCGCAGCAAAAAAGGAGACACACACACACAACAAAAAGGACTAAATCCCTAAACCCACTAAACCTAAACCTCTAAACCCCAACCCCTAAACCTTAAGCTAGAGTCTCCTTAGAACTTGTTTTTCAGTTTTGCTCCTATAGAACCCTAGAGAATATTTTGTTTTTTGTCATTATGGTTCTAAGGGGGTATTGTAAATCCCTAAAGTCCAAACCGACCCTTTCCTTTGGCGCGCTCCGTAAGGCGAACAAGAAGACCAAGGCCAAGAAGCTCGCCAAGGCTCTTAGCTGAGGCCAGGAGCACAGCCAGACGGCCGCTACAGGAGTTTTAATTGTAGGTATACGAGTATACTATTGTATTGTTGTAGTATAGTGTATAGTATAGTGTTGAAAAGTCTAGTCTCTTGTAGTATCCGATCGTATTCATGTTTTGCAGGGCTAAACAGGGCTTGATGGCTGCAAGAGTCCAGGGTTCTCGCAAGACCAAGTTCGGATTTGTAGCCATGCAGGCGGTGCATATGGGAGTTTCCGGAATTAGGGGACCCACTAAATAGTAGGACCCTTCCTGTAAGGGCCCCAAAAGAAGGTACAAGGTGCCCCTAATTCGCGGAAACCCTAAACCCTTTATAGAACCCTTATAGATCCCTTTAAGGAACCCTTAAAGGATCCTTTTCAAGGTACCCCTAAATTTTCGGAAACTCCCATATTCTTTCGGAATGCGTGATAGGAGTGCGGTGAGGCAGCGACTTGAGCTTGAGAGTGATTCAGTGGCAGAGCGTGCGATAAAGTAGCAGCCAGAAAGTTGGAACATTACTATCCTCATGCCCTTAATCTAAAAAAGGCGATCCCAGCAGAAATCATCCCAAATCTATGTTCCAACTTTTTGTAGTTCGCTATAGAGTCTCACAGACCAACCCAGGGAGGGAGAGAGAGAGAGAGAGAGAGCGAGGTAATTTAGAAGAGAAAAGCAGTTGTCTTTCTAGATGGTCGAAACAGGATTCACTTGACATCTCGACGAGAAGAGGCAGCTCGGTGAAGTGGAAGATCCCTCATGTTCATCATAACGGCTCTTACTTTCAACTTCTATTATTATATATTAGTATTAAGCTTATAGGCTACTGGTGCCGTTGTCCTTGTAATTACCTGTAATTAGGAATTGTCCCCCACCCCCGCCCATTCACCACCTACCCTAGCTCATTGCGGTTCGCATGCCATGGCATGCTGCGTCTCCGGGAACTCCGAGCTGCCTCTGCAGATCTATGCCAGATCGCTGACAGATGATGCGGATGCCGCTCGGCAACGCTTTCGTAGATATCAAGAGCTCCTTGAAGTTTAAGCTCCCTATGCGATCTCGACACAGTTCTCGACTCCTAAATCCTGCAGAGCTTCCGCATTACCAAAAGATTGCGATGATTTTCCCCATGTGTCTGCTGGCGGTTCTCATACCGCGACTCGCAGCGAACAGTTACGATCAACCTTTGCCAAGCATTCTAAAGAACTTCTTAGACCGCTTTACACAGTTTGCCTCTGCCTGTCCACTTTCGTGCCACGTTGGTTGCAAGAGTTATCATCGGCAAAACCAATACGAACTTGTCTGCTGATGCCGCTGCTGCTCCTGTTGCATTCCGCTACCACTCCCAGTGCTGCAACAACTACTGCTGCTACTGCTACTGCTACTGCTACTGCTACTGCCACTGCCACTGCCACTGCCACTGCCACTGCCACTGCCACTGCCACTGCCACTGCCACTGCCACTGCCACTGCCACTGCCACTGCCACTGCCACTGCCACTGCCACTGCCACTGCTACTGCTACTGCTACTGCTACTGCTTGCTGCGGCTGCCACTACTACTACTACTACTACTACTACTACTACTACTACTACTACTACTACTACTACTACTACTACTACTACTACTACTACTAAACTACTACTCCTACTATTACTACTACTACTACTACTACTGCTACTACTACTACTACTACTACTACTACTACTACTACTACTACTACTACTACTACTACTACTACCGCCACTGTACTGCTACTGCTACTACTACTACTACTACTACTACTACTACTACTACTACTACTACTACTACTACTACTGCTACTACTACTACTACTACTACTACTACTACTGTACTACTGTACTACTGCTACTGCTACTACTACTGTACTACTACTACTACTACTACTACTACTACTACTGCTACTACTACTACTACTGCTACTACTACTACTGCTACTACTACTAATAATAATAATGCTAGCACTACTAGCACTACCTTCTGCCACGATTGATGTTACTGTTGCTGCTGAAAGACTTCTCTCGCGCTGCTGCTGCTGCTGCTGCTGGGCCTGAGGCTGCTGTTGCAGCTGCTGCTGCGCGGCTATAACTGTTGTGCTTCCCGTTGCCACGGCTGAGAATGCCGCTATTGCAATGCTCACGCTTACATCGTGTTGTTTCCGGTCGGTGTCTGTGTCATCGCCGTCATCACCATCACCATCATCATCACCAGCAAGCACCGTCAAAATCATGGCAGCTCATCTTCAGCATTGTCTTCACCGATCATCATCATCATCATCACCACGATCATCCGCACCAACAACAACATCATCGCCACCAGTCTTCACCCTCACCCTCATTATCATCATCATCACCACCACCTTCATCGCTATCACTGTCATCATTATACTTCTCCTGACCAGTATCATCATTCTGTGGGGCTTATCTTCTGTGTTGATCCAGAACCGCCATCCATCCTCCTCCACAGCTCATCGTCGCCGTTTCTTGTGACGCTTGACAAGGCGTGGTGTTGGCTATGGTTTTTGTCGTCGCTGTCACAGTATCTTCGTCGTGATGGCTGTCGTTCCTATTGCCAGTATCCAAAACCCCTAAACCCCTAAACCCTAAATCCCTGAACCCTAAACCCTCAACCCTAAACTTCCTAAACCCAAACCCTAAGCCCCATTTCATCGGTCATTGCTGCAATCGATGTAGCAGCGCTGCAGATACCATCGGGGCCTAAATGCTTACCTACACTATTTTAGGGGGTTCCCTTGAAATGGGTCTATAAAGGCTATTATGAAGATTTAGTATAGGGGCCTTACAACAATTGCCTCTACTATTTTGGCGGGTTCCTGCTTATATTTGTAGTAGAGTGGCCCCCCCCAAAAAAAACCCTGTTCGAATGACTAAGGCCCCTTTACTACCATCTATTTGCATGGCTCAGGCTGCCCCCATGCTCTTCCCCATGTACACCGTCTCTGCAGATGCGCTGCTGAAGATGACAAAGGTCGTGCCGCACGAGGAGTTAAAGGCCGGAGACCAAGAGCTCGGAAGAACAAAAAGGTACCTCATAACAAGGCGAATGTACCATGTTTAAGGTCATATCCGTTTTCTAGAGGTATACGTGTATATATATATATATTGAATATATATATATATATGTTGTTTACTCTGGAAGATGGAAGCCTGAATTCTGAATAGCTGCCGACAGTACCACATCAGGGCAGCTTGGCCTGGGTATACCGCTTGTTCTATTTATCAAGGCCCGGGTAGCTTCGCTGTGGCTACATGCCACTGCATCACTACATCATGGCGGGAAGCTTCAACTTTTCCAGGATTTGGGGCTAAGGGGTCGCTGTTAAAAACCAAGGCAGGCCAAAAGGCAAAAGGCTTCAATACCGAAACAGCACTGCCTACAAGGGGCCTCAACTCTCCAGAGCTTCGTGCTACTTAGGGCTTACCCTAAGGCCCCAAAGTAGTTGCTTTTTGGGGTTCATATTTAGAATCCTATAAGGTAATCCCAAAAAGGGGCCTAGGGCTTAGAGCATCCTCCAGGCACAGGGCCAGCTCGTGGAATTCATTGACGGCCTGGGGAGGGCAGCCTTCGTTTCGCACCAGTGGCTTACGAAGCAGCATCCGGACCCCGACTTCCTGCAGATGCGCACTCTGCAGGACGCCATAAGGCGGATTCTGAAGGGCTCTGGGTGCCTGTCTTTGGACCCCATCACAGAAGCAGTGGTGCGTGGAGCAAAGCCACGTCCCATGAAGGATTTTCAGTCCAAGGCACTCTTCTTCTGGTACGACTATTTCTCAGTTCCGCAGCTACATCATCCGACACTGGCTAAGGAATCAGACAACCCCCACCAAGCCAGCGCCATCAACAGCATCCCAGCATACGTTGCCAGGTGCGAGCTTTTCCTTGCGCTTTGTCCGATTCTCGACTGCCCCGTCGAGGACAAGGTGCTAACAGCAGCGACCTGGAGCGGCAGGGGCTGGTGCCGCCTAGAACGAGCTGCGCGCGAGCTGTCGCCATGCAGTACTTGGATACTTCTTATTCGAAGCCAGACCTCCATGGAAGCTGTTGGCACGGTGCTGTCCTTTCCCAGCGGCTCCGTCGGGGAAGGCGACTTCGGCGTTGCGGCAGATCGGCAAAAGCTGGCCCCGGTGTTGCGGAAAATCCTCATGCAGAAGCTGAAGCATTGTCTGCGAGTGGGTGACCTGCCCGGATTCCGACGCCACTTGAATCTCCAGGCGGTTTACTTGCGGGGGCTTGAGATTGAGCCCGTGACCGGCCTGCTTCCCAGCGAAAGTGATGATGCAGTGATCGAGTTTCTTCACCAAAATGGCTTGAGGAGGGTCGGCGAGGCGGACAGCGCGGGGTGGCGGCCCTTACACTATGCAGCGCTAGCCGGCAACGTGGAGGTGCTGCGAGGCCTGCTGGAGAAGCGCGCCGGCTTGAACAGGCGGACATGGAAGGACGAGCCGATGCTGGGCTTGCCGCCTTGGATGTCGGCGCTGGATCTGGCTGTGCTTTTCAAGCACCACGACGCCATACACTTGCTGCTTGCAGCAAGAGCTCAGGTTGAAGGTGGAATAATGCCGGCTATCCATGCAGCGGCCAGTTCAGACAGCGCAGAGAGCATCCGCTTGCTGTGTGCCTCCGGTGCCAGGCCACTGACCCGCGACCTGCTTGGCATCTCCACCTTGCAGTGCGCAGCTGGGGTTGCGTCCCTTGAGGCCCTAGAGGAGACGCTGATGCAGGGCCGCCCGGGCTCGCTGGATCTGTCCCGGGCACTCTTCGATGCCTCATGGTTCAAAGGCGGCTCCGCCGTGGTGCAGCGATTGCTTACCCTCCGTGCCGATGTCAACTTTCAGATGAACCCCGCACGCGACTACAGAGCGCCGGGCCGGCTCGTCTTTGCAGGGAAGTCCTTGCAGTACCGGCTCGGCAAAGGCGAGGCGACTGTTCTGGCGACTCACGCCTATCACCTGCACGGCAGCACGCCTCTGATGCAGGCCATCCGGTCCGGGCAACACGAAGCCGCTGCGACCCTGATCGCAGCCGGTGCGAGACTGGACATCCGCAACTGCCGGAGTTGGACCGCGGCCGACTTTGCCCGTGGCCAGGCGATCCCACGGTTTTTGCAGCTGGGCCTGGACGGAGATCGGTCAGAGTGCCAGAGAGTGGCCTCTCGCGCACTCTCCACTGACTACGTCTCGATCTAACTTCGATTCGGCAGACCCCCCAACCCCAGGGGTCCAAGTATCCTCTTACGAGGTCTTCGCAGATATTCAAGCGCCAAATATATATATATATATATATATATATATATATACACACACATACTATGCTACGATTTGGTTTTTTGGGGGAACAAAACTCCTAGCTGTGAAGGTGCTGTTTCGGCTGAGCCCCACAGCTGAATGTCGGAGAAGAAGCTTTCCAGCACCTCCAAGAGGTGCTGGGCTCTGATCCTGTCTCTTGCAATGTGGCCGGGGGACAGTTGAATCGTTCTCTGCTGCTATCACGTGCTAGGCAGCATAACGATGCCGATGCACAATTTTCCAGCCGCAGACCGATTTGCAAATGATTTTCGGTCGACAGGTTTGTGACACCGAGCTCGGGTATCCTTGCCTGCGCTGTCTGCGAAAGTGTAAGGACGCAACTTCACTGCATAGTTTTGGGAATCATTTGGGGCAAGCATGGATCGGGATCAAAGGTTGGATGCCGGGTTTGGGTGTCCGATGTGCGACTCGATGTGCGAGCATTTCGGTGCTTGTAACCATACTTATTTTACATCTAGCTCCAATTAAGGTGCCTATAACTTATAACTTATGATTACTAAGTCTCATGAACCTCCAAGCACTGGGGATCCATGACCTTGGAAGATGTCTCTCGCAAAACGCGCCGGCAGAGCGGAAGATCCCAGTGTTCATCATCCGGGCTGCTGCGGTGTCAGCTGGATGCTAGGGTTTAGGGTTTTGGGTTTAGGCTATATTATATAATAATGAAGTGGTGGTGCATTATAATTAGCCATAAACCGCTTCATGAGTATTGCACAACAGCTTCCATCAGGGATGCTGCGATCATTGTTTTAAATTCAGGAGTGCTGTTTTTGCAGCTATTGTGCGTCTTGGGCTGTATTTATGTTCATACATACTTGTATGAAATGAGATTATGAATCAACAAGTAAGTCTGTATATATATATACACATATATATATATATACACATATATATATATATATACATACATATATATATACAAGATAAGGCAAATGATCTGAAGATCACTCTCATCGCGACTGTCGTCCTCCGCGAGGTCCAGCGCCCAGCTCTGAGAGCGGCGGGCAGCCTGTTGCCTTCGAGGTGTAGACTTAGTAACTTGGGTTATAATTAAGGTAACTATACTTATAACTCCAGTTAGGGTACTTATAACCTTAATTACTAAGTCCCATGATCCTCCAAGTAGGATTTAGGGTTTGGACCCTTATAAAGCTTAGATCCTTGAGCCCCAACACCAAAGCCTAAACCTGATGGGTAGGATGTAGGATTTGAGGCTTGGAACCCTATAAGCCTGAGGAGTGGGGTTTGCAGCTTAGACCCGAGATGTAGAATGCAGAACTCAGGGTTTGGATCCCTAAGCCTTAGATATCAGAGCCCCACAACCCTCAACTATCTACTCTGAAGCCCCGCAAAGGCTGTGACGAGCTCTTTTAGCCCAGGTTAGTCTGCATGTGTATAATAGCCGGCATAACCTAGATGAGTGTGTAGCAGGGTGTACGTACTTCTGGCAACTTCGTGAATAATCAGCGGACCCACCTAGGAAATTGCTTTGTTCATCCCTCGGCTAAACAAGTGCTCAGCTTCGGATTTAGATTTGGCTTCGATGAGGTCTGCAGCAGGAGTGTGACCTCACGCGACGAGTGCAGGGAGGTGTTTCACCACATACGCCGTTAAGCAAGGGTCTTAAAAGCAAAAAGACACAGTTTCGGCCATGCATTGAGACCCGGAAGCCCGCAGCAGGTCGATCTTTCGCATATACTGAACCTAGGTGTGTGAAGCAGTTTTGCTACTTCTGAGCTGTGCAACGCCGGGCGATGGATGGCCTTTCTGCTTTTGACTCCTGATGCCGCCGCCATGAAGTTGCCAGATGGACCATGCTTGAGTGCATAAAAGAAAGGGGCCGTAATGGTAGCAATAACAACAGATGGCAAGCTCAGTGGAGCGCAGCACAAAACCAGTGACATGGCGATCCCACCTTGCAAGCAGGCCCTAGGAGCCTTAAGGACTACATACATACATATTATGTGTAGTACATATTATGTATATAGATCTGTGCATGCCGATGGGGATGTAAACTTACGGTGCGTGTCTGTATTTATATCTCTGTACATAGAGACTCGCACGAGGTGCACGCGGACAAGGCATGATACAATACAGGGGCCTAAATAATTACCCTATACTATTTTGAGGGCTCCTTATTACAGTTCTCGTAAAATGGGCCCCAAAACCCTGTTCCAATTACCAAGGCCCCTGTACTACAGAACCCTACTATAGATCCCTTATAGACCCCTTTAAGGATTCCTTTAAAGGGAGCCCTATTATTAGCTGGGGAACCTCGGCTCTCACACCTTGCCCCAAGTGCCCCTTGACTCAGCGATACGGCCGCTCACATGACCCCGGCCCTCTACGCCGCACCGCCCGAGCAGTGGAAAGGCCAGTCCTTTGCTAGGCTGATAATAACGATAAGAATAGTGATAGCAATAATAATAGCGCTGATAATGGTAATGCGTAATAACGATAATAGCAATAATACTGATAACAATACCAATAAAAGTAGTAATGATAATAGTCATAATGGTGATAATAGTAAAAAGACTTTTTTGATCATGCGGGCCTATCAGGGCTGAACTCTGGAGCAGTGCAGACTTGTTTTTGCGAAGCTGGCTGTCTCCATGCCATGCACAAGGTTCCTAGGTCTTTCAAAAGAAAGTGCATAGGTTTTTCAGACACCTAAGAACCCATGTTTTTTAAAAGACCTACGTACTTCGGAGAGTTTGCGCTTACAAACAACTTGAAGCCCGGCCAGTCGGTTTTTTGTTTGAGGTTTCTAAGGCCCGGGACAAAGTCCTGAGATTGGACGGGAATGTCCTAAAAGGAGATAGCTTCCTCTGTGCAGCCTCTGCAGTTCCGTTTCCGTTGCTTCTAGACGTCCGGACTTAGTGTCAGTGTCAGCGCTACACATGCGTGGATCCTTGTGACCAGAGCCCTTTGCAAATATTGGGGCCTTAATAATTCGACTAGGGTTTTGGCGGTAGATTTTACAAAAAGATTACAGGCAATCTCACCATAGCTTTAGGGATCCCTCAAAGATCCCTTTAAAGGAGCCCTTGTAAAACCTCGAAAGGAGCCTATATGGATCCTTTAATAAGGAACACCCAGGACCCCTCTCCATAGGCCCTCTCCCCGTCCGACATCCGTCCAGGCCCTCCCTGCGCCTACCCGCCGATTGAGGTGACTTGTGCCAAACCTGAGATTGCGTTGAGGGTTTAGGGTATGATTGCCCTTTGCGAATATAGGGGCCTCAATAATTCGAGTAGTGTTTGGGGGATATCGTTTCTATATTAATGGGCTTAGGGTACAGGGTTCGGGGTTGAGTCACGATTCCTTCTATGCTGGTGGAGGTTAGGCCTTTGAAGGAATTGGACCTTTGGTTAGGTTGCGGGCTGCATAGGCAGAGGATGGAGGGATCGGTTTTCCCAACCATAAGTTCGTTTCTTGAACGTGGACCCATGCATTAAGGGTTAGATTATAGGATCGGTCTGAATATATAAGGAGGAGCATTCCCGAAAATGCTCAAAGAATCATAGTATAACATGCCCCCAAGCAGTCTTCCAATCAGCAAGGCCCCCATGCCCTAAACCCTAAGCTCGCGGCTTCCGTTTTTGCAAGGTCGTAGCCAAAATCTTTCGGGAGTGGTGCAAGCTATTGGATCTGCCAACCGAGCCGGTGCCGCCACCCCACGACTCTTGGCTTCATGTAATGTGTTGTGTACACTACGTTGATCATTTCATAATCTGTTTAATTCGATATTAAGATGTCATGTTATACTGTATGTACTATGCTGGACATTCTATAACAACGTAATACGTTTTGTAGTCTGTCAAATATTTGTTAGAGGCTTTCCTGCAGCAAAGGGCTGACATGAGGCGTAGAAACTAAGAAAGGTCTTACGATTCAAACAAAACCATTCACAATAATCTGGTACGTACCTTGCTTTTTTGTTTTCAGGCTGTGGGCTTCAGTATGCTTCTTAGGCCAAGAGCGGCCAAGCCTGACAGCAAAGAACAACTCTAATTGTTTGTCATCGGCTGGAAGCACTCCCCTGCAACGCCGGCCCGAAAGCCAAAAGGCCTAATTAAACCCTATAAACCCCGAAAACACAAACCTTAAAGGTTCTACGTCCCTACACAGAAGAGCCGTCGTAGGTAGAGTGCTCATCTACTATAAAGGCTCTACAGCACAGCCCATGAGCCCAACTCGTATTCGCGGCCCCTCTGCGCTCGAGCACCTTCCCGCGGCAATTTCTGGGTTTGTGGCCGCGCGGCTGAGGTCCTTCAACAGCTGGCGCAGGGCGGAGAGTGCCATGGCATAGAAGTAGGAACTCGCGGGTCTATGGGTTCGGATTTAGTATGGTTTATAAGGGTTTGGGCTTCACAGCGTTTAATTAGGGTTTATATGGCTCAGAGTTTTAGGGTTTCAGGGGGGTTAGTAATTTAGGGTTTCAGGGGTTTAGGGTTAAGGATTTAGGTTCAGGGTCTTTGGCTCCTCTTGAGCTCCGGTTCCGGAGGCAAGGCGAAGTTGCTTCTCTGCAACATGCAGCACTCTAAAGCCAGCATAATATAGGGGCCTTCATAATTGCCTATACTATTCGGGGGGTTCCGTATTATAATTATGGTATAGTGAGCCCCAAGACCCTCTCCTAAAATAAAGGCCCCCATATTAAAAGGCCACCATGCCGACAGCCCGCCTCCCAACAAGCAAACCGTTACAGTCAAAGTCGCACAAGGCTTGAAGACCACCAAAGAGGCAGTGGAAGTGGCATTGTGCTAGTCTATCACAACATTGATATGTCTTGTCATGTTGTTCTAACTTGTGGTCTTATGGTATCAGAGTATTACCGTAAACCTAAACCCTAAACCCTACAGAATTCCTCGCCTGTCCCGTTCCCATCGCCTGTTTCCTCCGGAAGGTGCTTGAGGAGCTGCATCCAGTTCGTGTCGCGCAGCTCCGAGCCTCACTGCGTTCAGCAGGCTCCTGCTGTGCGGCATTGGATAATGTAGGAACCTGATTAAGAAACCCTGGGCCTATAACCCCAAAATATTAGAATTCATGAACGGAACCCTATTAAAGGCGCAAGGTTTCTTAATCAGCTTCCTAAATTGCTCCTGTAGTCTTCATTGAAGTTCTTCTTTCGGCAAGCCAACTTTATGGTTAGCAAGATCATTGGCTCAGAACAATGCAGCGGAGATCTTTACACTGCAGCTGTTGCTGCAATAGAACCCTAAGCCCTATAAACCCTAATAGAACCTTTAACCTTTAACCCTAAGCGCTAAACACGACTGTTGCATGAGACTTCTCTCTGCTCCGCCCTCCGCCCATGGGGAGGTTTCAGGCCCATGTCTTGCCCGGATCTTCAATGCGATAAGCCCAACTTCCAGAAAGCCCAAAGAGTTGCAACAGGGCGTAGGCCTGAGGGGGAGGGTGGGTTTAGGGCTTCAGGGTTTAGGTTTGGGTACAACCCTAAAGGCGTAGCTTCCGAGACAAGGATGGCATGCCGAGGCTCCAATCTCCACAAAGCTCATGCAGTCTAATATAGGAACCTGATTCAGAACCCTCCTAGTATTTTGGGGTTCATTACGCGAGTCCGGGCATTTGGGGGCCATCCTTTATATGAATCCTAATGTTCCTGGTGTTTTTTCAGTATGAACCCAAATATTTCGGTGGTTCTTGGCCAATTTGCTGCTTCCAGCGATGCTTCGGCACCCCGTGGAAGCCCCCGAAACCTGTCTGGGTCTGGTTACAGGACGAAGAGGTCGCCGATCAGCGCTCGCAGATCCTCGGAGAGCATTTCTGTAGTTCCAGTGTTGTTCAGGCATGCAGAGTTTGCAATACGTCTTTTTTTCATCAGTCGTCATACAGGGTTTGCCCCTGAGGGTTTACAGGGCCATCCCCAAGAATCGGCAAACAGGGTCCCGTACAGGGCAGACGAGGTTAGAGCTTGAATGATCGGCAGCAGCGGTCATTATGTGGTTCCTTCTGGCAGTCTTGCAGTTGCGATACCTTGATCGATTCACTCGTGCTCCTTATGGCAGTACAAAACCCACAGTCGAAACATTTACACCCCTACATCAGCCTCTCTTAGGAGTGTATACTACTCCCCCGAGGGATGACGATTCGTTTCAGCAGAAGAGCGTTTGTGAGTCAGCAACTGTGTTCCCATACGTAAAGGTTCGCAATTACAGTTCTTCATGTCGCGAAAGCTTTGCATTCGATGGTTCAATCTGTCCGTCTGCTGCGTCCGGCAAGAACCGTGTAGAAGTATTCGTTGTGTCTCTTGCCTCTTCTAGCCTCCCACTATAAATCAATTGTTAAGCTGACTGTGGACAGCCGCGAGTAGCCGCGACAGCTGCGCCATCTCAATTCCGAAAGCTACTTGGCCGGCCTAATATATGAAGGCCCCGTAACCCTGTACCCGAAACCCCTAACTCCTAAACCCAAAGCGGCATGCAAGGAGGGCTGTCAATGTCCTTTGCCTGGGGCTATCAGGGTCGCAGTGGCACCTCGGCAGCCCAATTTACGTCCGACCTGCAATGCCTTGCTGATGGCTCCAATAAACTTGCCTTACGGGTCATACAGGGGCCCTGTACCTGTGGCTTGTGGCTTCTGGAGCCACACGTGTTGATCTCCATGTACCTCTTCCGCCTCTGTGCCAACCCGCATCAGCTGGCACGCTCAATACTCTGCAGGTGCCAGCAACCCACTGACGGTTCTGCGGTTCCAATCACCTGACTTGAACATTCGGAACCAGAAGCCCGTACTTGCAAGAGGCCCTTAAAGGCAAAGCTAGTTCCCACAGATCCTAAACCCTAAACCGTGACTCTCAGGTATTATCCATCTTTGGGCGACCTCTTGCCCCTGCCCAAGACCAGGGTTCCTCTCTGGGGGACTGGGGCTCCAGGTCGCATTCTTCAGCTGCGTAAAGGATTGTGGTCACAGGGCACTTGAATGCTGGTATCTGGAGTCATCATGTTATGGGACTGCCGGGCCCTGATGCTGAGTCTAGGATTCAGTAGTGCGGGACACGGCGATCAAAAAGCAGTATTTGCGCAAGCCGTCTGAACTGCCGTACGAGAACCATAACGAGAAAAGATCAGAAATCGACCTTTGAGCGCGCAAAAGGTGCCCTGAACAATCAAAGCTCATGGTATTTGCCTGTTTCCCAGTATATACATGGGCGAACCTGTGCACTGAACGGCTGTGACCCTCAGTCATGGGTTCCGTGGCACTCAGGCATTTGTCTTGCTGCGAACTCCTGGGCGGTCTCCAGCCGCCCTCCCGCGGCGCCAGCCACCACATCTGACCCTTGGCGAGAGACGCCATGCCAAGTAAGGATGTTTCGGGATTACGATATAGCCCAGAACCCCTAAGCCCCTAAACCCTAGACTCTCAACCCTCAACCGAAGCAGTCGGGAGCTCGGAACCCTGTGAGGCACGGCTCTGCAGCGTTTGCTCCTCACTCACGAGGCGGACGTAGTCCCTGCGCTGCTTTATAGCCACGCTGCGCAGCCGCAATTGGGACTTGGGGCTTATAGGGTTTATGGGGTTTACCTGGACCCCCAAAAACCTACCGGTTTAAGGATTTACCTTATCCGTGACCTTGGAGCCCTATACCTTACTTTCTCAGAATGTGTCCCAATACCCTGTCTTGTTAAAGCCCCTACTAGCCTACAGTAGCCCTTCCAGAAGCCTGGTACTACCCCTTAGAGGAGCCCATATGAACGATGAGCCATGCAACCCGAAGCCCTGTTAAACCGGAACCCGAAACGGCCCTGGCACTAAATCCCAAACCCAAAAACCCAAACCAATAAACCCTGAAGCCCAAAGCCCAAGCCCTAAACCCTAAATTCCTATAGATCCCTTATAGGAGTTGGTCCTAAACCCTAAGACCTAAAACCCTACACCTGACAACCTATATCCCTAAACCCTGAACCCCAAACTCACCCGAGACCCAAAACTAAATCCCAAACCCGAAACTGAACCCTCAAATTTAACCCTAAAGCCCTATAGGTCCCTTTTAGGAAGCCTTAGTAGGGGAACCCTTGGGCCCTGAACCCCACACCCCTAGAGACTCCAAGACCCCTTAATCAAGGAATATTCCTTACATCATATTAAGGATCCTACTATAATTTAAGGTATATTCCTTAATTAAGGGGTATTCCGTAAATCATATTAAGGTAAGGATCCTACTATAATTTAAGGTATATTCCTTAATTAAGGGGTATTCCGTAAATCATATTAAGGTAAGGATCCTACTATAATTTAAGGTATATTCCTTAATTAAGGGGTATTCCGTAAATCATATTAATGTAAGGATCCTACTATAATTTAAGGTATATTCCTTAATTAAGGGGTATTCCGTAAATCATATTAAGGTAAGGATCCTATTATAATTTAAGGTATATTCCTTAATTAAGGGGTATTCCGTAAATCATATTAAGGTAAGGATCCTACTATAATTTAAGGTATATTCCTTAATTAAGGGGTATTCCGTAAATCATATTAAGGTAAGGATCCTACTATAATTTAAGGTATATTCCTTAATTAAGGGGTATTTCGTAAATCATATTAAGGTAAGGATCCTACTATAATTTAAGGTATATTCCTTAATTAAGGGGTATTCCGTAAATCATATTAAGGTAAGGATCCTACTATAAAGGTGTAAAGGTATATCATATAAGGTAAGGATCCTACTATAATTTAAGGTATATTCCTTAATTAAGGGGTATTCCGTAAATCATATTAAGGTAAGGATCCTACTATAATTTAAGGTATATTCCTTAATTAAGGGGTATTCCGTAAATCATATTAAGGTAAGGATCCTACTATAATTTAAGGTATATTCCTTAATTAAGGGGTATTCCGTAAATCATATTAAGGTAAGGATCCTACTATAATTTAAGGTATATTCCTTAATTAAGGGGTATTCCGTAAATCATATTAAGGTAAGGATCCTACTATAATTTAAGGTATATTCCTTAATTAAGGGGTATTCAGTAAATCATATTAAGGTAAGGATCCTACTATAATTTAAGGTATATTCCTTAATTAAGGGGTATTCCGTAAATCATATTAAGGTAAGGATCCTACTATAATTTAAGGTATATTCCTTAATTAAGTGGTATTCCGTAAATCATATTAAGGTAAGGATCCTACTATAATTTAAGGTATATTCCTTAATTAAGGGGTATTCCGTAAATCATATTAAGGTAAGGATCCTACTATAATTTAAGGTATATTCCTTAATTAAGGGGTATTCAGTAAATCATATTAAGGTAAGGATCCTACTATAATTTAAGGTATATTCCTTAATTAAGGGGTTTCCGTAAGGGATCCTACTATAATTTAAGTATTTCCTTAATTAAGGGGTATTCCGTAATCATATTAAGGTAAGGATCCTACTATAATTTAAGGTATATTCCTTAATTAAGGGGTATTCCGTAAATCATATTAAGGATCCTACTATAATTTAAGATGTATTCCTTAATTAAGGGGTATTCCGTAAATCATATTAAGGTAAGGATCCTACTATAATTTAAGGTATATTCCTTAATTAAGGGTATATTCCTTAATTAAGGGGTATTCCGTAAATCATATTAAGGTAAGGATCCTACTATAATTTAAGGTATATTCCTTAATTAAGGGGTATTCCGTAAATCATATTAAGGTAAGGATCCTACTATAATTTAAGGTATATTCCTTAATTAAGGGGTATATTCCTTAATTAAGTAAAATCATATTAAGGTAAGGATCCTACTATAATTTAAGGTATATTCCTTAATTAAGGGGTATTCCGTAAATCATATTAAGGTAAGGATCCTACTATAATTTAAGGTATATTCCTTAATTAAGGGGTATTCCGTAAATCATATTAAGGTAATTAAGGGGTATTGGAGTCTCTGGGCCCCCTGAGGCCCCCTTCCTGCTCCTGCGCTCCTTGGACCGTCCCGGCTGCTCGGAGCTGCTCCAGACTCTGCTAGGCGCTCCACTCCGGGCTCAAAAGGTCTTAGGGGTTTGGGACTGGTTTCAGGGTTTATATGATCATATATATATATATACATATACATATATATATATATATCCACTCCTTGCTGCGGTTTAGTCTTTTTTATAGGGGCTCTCATAACGTCTTTCAGTTTTACAACTGGTTTTAGATGGCTTATAATATGATCATACATTCGGTGGTTTGGGGGTTGCTGCGATTTGGGGTTTTAGGGTTTTTAATACAGGGTTGTAGGTTTCATATTTAGGGTTGTAGGACTGGTTTTAGGGTTCGTATGATCATATAGAGGGTCCTTGCTGCAGTTTGGGGTTTAGTGTTCCCTTGCAAGGGTGCTTTAGGGCTTTTTAGTTGGGTTCTCTTTAATGGTTTAGGGTTTAGGGTCTACTTAAAGGATCAGAGGACTGAAGTAATGAGGATGGTGGGGAACTGTACTACTTAAATTGGTTGATTGTAACCCTCATGGAACATCAAAGTACTCATATCCATACTTACAAAGTCCCATGATCCTCCAAGTGGGGTTTTGGAATTGATGGTTTGGGAGTTTACGGTTCTATTATATAAGGTTGCGATACAGGCTTCCGGGTTTTATGTGCCCCTGAAAATGGTTGATATGAGGGATTTCGGGTTTACCATTCAAACTTCTTGCTGTGGGCATTTAAGGAAAGGGGTGCGCTGCGCCACAACAAGGGTCCTGCTGTACTACTTTTTTGGATTCCACAGCTGGCGTTTCGGATTTAGAGTTTCCATAGGGGTTCCTACACGGGTTACGACAAAGGTTACTGTCGGGTTTTGGGGGGTCAGGTATTCCTTAAGGATGAAATTTAACCCCGAAAAGCTTTTAATGTTCATACACCCTTGAAAGATTCATAGGGATATATCGGCCAAGGGCGCCTACTTATAAGGGTGATTTGGTCCCCAAAATTGGGGTTTAGAGATTGCGGCCGCATGGCTGCCAGGTCTCAGCCTGTTCAGGTTCAGATGGAATCCTTGCGAAGCTTGATGCTCCCATGCTAGTGCGCATTTTTTGAATTTTGTAGCGGCTTTAACCATGTCCTCGACAGTGTGGTTGGGGCCATTCTGCGAATATGGTTGGCTGGAATGCAGACCCTTCTTCTAGTTCGGGATAGCGGAATCCATTGGAGACGTTCATGACGAAGCCTGAGGCAGGCTTCGTCAGCCTGACAGAGGCTGCTGTGAGGGAGCAAGACCATATTTCATGAATAAACTCGTTTCGCTGCAGGCGTTCTTTTTGGCACGCCCCTTTCTCTGCTTCTGCTTCACAGGTGGCGACGCAGTACTCTCACGAACGCCTCCTCTTCCCGGCAGGCAGGCTGATACTATGGTCCGTTAGTTGCGGAGTCCGTACTGTCGGTACTGTCGTGAGCAACTCTTGATCTGGCGACGTTAGCGGAATCCTCAGGTGGGAAAAAGACTGACAAGTGAAGAGAGGCGATGTGTGTGTTTTGGCCCACCTGAACACGCAAAACGAGCACCAACAAACATTGCAGCTGTCAGCCCCGAGATGTGTGGCACAAAAACTATCCGATAATGTTCTTCCCCCAGATCTGTGTTTTAACTACTGAGGCCCATCAACCCTACACCTTATTGTAGATCCTTTATCCCTATTCAACTTTCTGAAACCCCCACAGTATGCTGTTTCTAGCGACGCAATATGTGCATCTCAAAGTCACAAGGCCGAGCCTGGAACCAAAAGCAACTGCAAACCTCGAAGATCGTGGACCAGGAACCCTGGTGGAGCCATAAAATATTTCAGAGGCTCCATATATTCTACCATTATGGAATTAGGTCCCTGAAACCATAAGATGGTCTTTTGAGACCTAATCTCATAGTGGTAGCATGTATGGGGCCTTTGGGATAGTGGACAGTATATGCAGACTATGATTTACAAGAGTTGCTATGGAGTTACTATAAGGGACCGTGAAACAGGGGTAAACCGTCCCCATAATAGTTGGCTAAGGTCTAGTAGAGGCTAGGAAGATGCCTGGAAGGCCACTCCAAGTTCAATCGCTGTGGCAGGCGCAGGGGGGGAAGGATGTAAGGCTACAGGGGCGGCTCGGGAGGCAATTCTCCGAAGGCAAGCCATGAGCTCAAACCTTTACAGAATCTTCTCAGGCTTCACGAGGAGGGCTCGGTTCAGCCCTGATTCGTTTGTTTTCATCCTATAAACCCTGAACCCCCTACTGAACCTAAAACCCCCACGAAGCTCTGAAACTCTTGAACTCCTGGGACCCTATAACCCTAAACCCCGCAGCCCCAAGCCGCAAAAACCCTGAACCCTTGTGAAAATTCTTAAATCCTTATTGTAGCCCTTATAGTGACCTATTCACTAACTTTCTTACAGAAGCCCAGAGGTGCAGCAGTACCTCATTGCTTATCAGTGGCCTGCTTGCGTGGAGTCGGTGGCATCCCAAGGCTCGGCTTAGGAGTTCCTTCCCAGCCCTGGGCTCCCCGAAGAGAAGGGGTTACCGGGCTCTTGTTAAGGAAGTTGTAGTATATATACGTAGTCATAGCAAAGAAACAAACCTTATATTACTTACTGTAGATCCCTATTGTGGTAACTTACAGTACACTCCTTAACAAGAACCAAGCTTAGGTCTTAGGGTTGATACTAGCAGTTCTAGGCATAGGAATAGTTTAATTAATCGTGATACTAATTGTAGTGGTAACAATGGCTACGAATTATAACCATTGTAGTTTATAATATACTAGTAGTAACAACGATAATAGTGATGCCCAAGATTTCGGTTGTTTTTGTTGGATTCTCATCAGCCCGTATTGTGTCTCAGGATTTCTTATTGCAGTTATACAAAAGCAGACCTCTTCCCTTCAAGAAGCAAACTAACTAGTATATTTTCTGATGATTCAGGACCATGGGTTCGGCCGTTGCGTCTTTCATGTGCGCCGGTGAGCAGGGTAACAAGGATCGGTGGCATGAATCTAACCCAGCTTAGGGCTTTGGCCGGGAGAGCTCAAGTGCCTAAGTAGCAGAGCGGCCTGAACTCAGGTACCAGTCCTATTCTCTTGAGGTTCTTATTACAAACCGAGACCAAGATATGTACCCCGACGCCGAGCTAATTCTTCAAGCCCCTATCGTCGTCCCTGCACTTGGCCTTAAAACCTTGTTCTAGATCCCTTCAAGAAGCCTTGGAAGGAATCCTGTAGCGAACCTTTATAATTATGAAGAGAGAGGTGCCAAGCAGCCGGCTGCCAGGGGCTGGGCCCTTGGTGCTTTGGGGAATCTTCATGTTTAGGGTTTAGGATCTAGGTGGCATCGCTGATGAGGTTCCGTAGTATTGGGAACCTTGCTTTTTTGAAGCATTCGTCGGATCCCTCGGACTTAGCAAGCAGACGGGGCATGAAGGTCGTTGAAAGGAAAGCTGAACATGAGCTCTGTTAGGTCGTTTGCGTGGTCATGTATTCATCGTCTGCATCAGGCAGCGAGTCCTGCTTCTCCACACCCAGCAGGCAGGATTGAGAGAGTTCAAGTGCGCTGTCCGTTGGGGCGAAGCAAGGTGGGTGGTTGTGAGCGTGGGGGTTTAGGGCTTGTGGCCGCAGGTTGAGGAACTGGTGCCGGTAGATTGCCGCTTCTTTTCCGGCGAAACCCGCGAAAGAACCCGAGGACGCGAAAGCAAGGCCTACGTAACCGCAAATCCCAAGCCCTAAAGCCCATAGACCCTAAATATTAAACCCTATAGGACCTACGAGCCCTGGCCCTTCAAGGCCCTAAGCCCTACAATCCCAACCCTCAACCCAAACAGCCCTAAAGCCCTAAGCCCAAAGTCAAGATCTTAAAGGAACCCCGGATCTTCCAGCAGCCGCAAGCTCGCACCGGGCGCGAGGTGCAAGCAGCCGACCACACCGCCGAGCACACCCGGGCCGAAGGCATCGGCAATACGGGGCCCTCATATAGTCCTGATCCCTACATATTTATATATATATATATATATATATATATAGGCGATTATAGGTGTGTGTGTGTGTGTGTGTATGTGTGTGTGTGTGTATATATATATATATATATATATATATATATATATATTCGTTTATGTATGTATGTATGTATGTATGTACATAGTAGAAGTTATGGCATAACCGCCGCCTTAAGGATGTGCCCTGGGTGGGGATGTCGGACTTTCGGCCCGGTAGATCTTGGGACTCGGTCAGGTTGATTTTTGGCAACCACGACATCCCACTTCCATTATGGTTTAGGGGTTCACGAATGTTAGATCTGGACATGAAAGTTATACATAAATACATGTTTGTATGTATACATATGTATATGTTGTGTGTATATATATGTTCATTGATTTACACGAATATTCGCTCTGAGGTTTTAAGGACTCCGCTGATTTCTTTCAGCCCCAGAGCCCCAACAGCTCCACGCGCAGGCAGGCTGCCAAAGCCCAGGCCGGCATCGTCCTGTTTTGGGAAATCTTACGGTTCCTGAAAGGGTTCCTTAAGGGGCTCCTTAAAGGGATCTATAAGGGATCTTTAGTGGTTTGGGGTTTCGGGTCTGCTTGGGGAATCATGGGACTTAGGGTTCCTTAAAGGGGTTCATGAAAGTGATCTATAAGGGATCTACAAAGGTTTGGGGTTTAGGGTCTACTGGGACATTTAGAAACTAGGGTTAGGAATAAGGTGCTGTACCTATACTTATAACTCCACTTAAGGTACTTATAACCTCATTTACTGGTGGGGCCTCAGCGATGGCATGGAGTGCAGGTTTGATTGAAATTAGGTGTAAGCTCAGGGTTTCCAGGCGGCACAGTGAAGGTTGCTCGGATGTGGCGGTCGTTTTGCAAGAGCTTATATAGGGGCGTGGGCGCTTAGGGATTGGGGGTTTAGGGGTTTAGGGTTTAGGGGCTGTTTCGACACAACCACAGGGAAAAGGAGGAATGATGCTGAAGCATGTCGGGGGGGAGCTGTCAAATTCCGCTCTGGGATGTACCTTCGATTGTCATCCGTTTAGTTTTATACCCCGCCGTAAAGTGGAGGCACTTTGCTCGGATGGATGGCGCTTGCCTCAGAGCGACAGACATTCTCATCCGCAAGAATGTTTCAGTTTGTCCATTACGCGATCTTGGAGTCCACAACATAGCAATGCTTTGTCATTCTGGGAGGCTTTCGTTTCACGGGCGGGGCTTTGGTGAAAAGTAAGGGTCGGACAAAGAGCAAAGGACAGTGCAAACTTACTGGAAACAGCATCGTTCCTTGGATCCTCGCCTCTTCCGTGCGTTGCTCGAACTGGCTGCGGCGTCACTGTATCGCGTGGATTCGTAGATCGGCTGGGATTCAGATTTCCGCAGGAGCTCGCCTCTGACCGCGGAAGCAGCTGACACTTCATAAGAGAAAGTGAAGCCGTATCAGTGGCAACATGATTTGGCACAACACTCGGAAAGCTAGCCAAGGTAGCAACACCGCAAACAGTAAAGATACCGTAGCGGTTGTCGTCTGCGCATGGTCAAATCAAGTGTTCTGCAAGCCTGAGCCTTGAGCCATGCAGTCTTTCACCCCGTCCCCCGTTTATTCCCTGTGGTGTAACATACTGCCCTGATGGTCCTGGATCAAACAAAACACCGAGAGACCTCAGCCAGTTAGTAGGCGGATGATCAATCGCAGTTGTCGTGCATCGGATCCAAGGTTCTAAGCAACGCTCCTTGCACCACCGAGGCCGAGGCTACCCCGTGCTCCACGCCACAGCGCTTTCCGCGCGCCAGGGAGGCCGGGGTTGGGGCTCGGAGGGGCTGAGACTGTTAAAGGGTTCCCTCCATCTACCCTCTATTAGACCCTAAATGCCCCTTATTTGGGACCATATACCCCTATTTGAGGGTACAAGGAGTGTCTTGGTTATGTAGGATTTAGGATGGGTTAGGGGTTTAGGCTTCAGGGTATAGGGTTGAGTATTCAGTGTTTCGGCTTTAGTATTAGGGCTTAGGGCTTAGATTTAGCGCTATGTATAGTACAGGCTTGGGCAAGGGGTTTCCTATAGGCGTACTCTGAGGTACATGAGTACATACTATACCTGGACCCCCAAAGTATGTAGAACACTAGCCTTTAGGTATTGGGCCATTATTTTACCTACTTTGGGGGTTTAGGTATAGGCACATGGAGCCCCAGGGAGAGCTGAGAAAAGCGCCAAAAGGGCTACTAGAAGGGGTTTTGTCTGGGTTTCGGGTTTGGGGTTCTAGGGTCTTCTGCGTTGTTTATTGGATGTTTCTATACGGGCTGTATAACAGAGTGTTTACAAGTCTTTTATGGGATGAATGGGATGATATATAAGGCCGTTTAAGGATTGTATAATGCGTTTCGGGTTCCTTTTCAAGACAAGCTGCATACTCGAGCCTTTGCGCCGACACCAGCTGTAACAAGTAACGCTTACGACTATGTCCTAACAGCCCTCAACCCTCAAGGCAAAACCCTCAACCCTAAACCCCCAAGCCTAAAACCTAAACCCCAAAGCCCAGACCCAATAACCCCTAAGCCCTCTGCAGCGAAAGCAGATGCCTGAGAAGTCTTGCCAGGTGCAGGGCGCCGCTCCCTTCGAGTCGTTACCGGCGCAGATCTCCTCACCCTCCACGGAGGCACGGCAGGAGTCTTGGGGTTTAGGGTGGTGGAGTTTAAGGGTTTGTTCCATCTAATTTTGGGGGCTTTCTGGTGGTTTTAATAGCCAATCCTGCCGAAGAGGACTCGAAGAGGACTTTCGGGGATTCGGTGGGAAGGGCCAAGGATGTTTAGTTCTTCGACAACAAGCTGAAAAATGCAGAAGGACTCGAAGAAGCCATGCAGACTGCAGATGTGGGTTGTCCATGCCGCACAGGTCGTCTACGCAGAGAGAGTGCCAGCACGACCGTCGTTGCCAGCCACACCTGAGGCATCCGCGTTGCAGAGGGAGCAGTTCCTGTAAAGCAGTTCCTGGTTGGTCTGGCAGGACTACTGCTGCATCTTGCAGAAGACTTCAACAAGAGCTTGACATCTTATTATATTACTGGAACTTATGCTATACTATACACGACACTATATATATATACCTATAAACATATATACATATATACATATATACATATATATATATATATATATATATCGGCGTAATGATATATATATATATATATATGTATATATAGGTATATACACATATGTTGTCTCTCAGCATGGTCTTGTGAGATCTCTGCCAGGGCCGAGAGCCCAGCGCCAGTCCGCCTCGCAGCCCCCCAGGCTTGCGGCACCTGGGGACCCTTTGCCCATAGGTAAGGTAACTATACTTGGGTTCCTTAAAGGGTTCCTTAAGGGGCTCGTTTTCAAGGGTTCCATCAGAGATCTGCAGGGGTTTAGGGTGAAAGTCTACTTGGAGGATCATGGGACTTAGTAACTAGGGTTATAAATAAGGTAGCTATACTTATAACTACAGTTGGGGGTACTTATAACCTTACTTACTAAGTCCCATGATCCTCCAAGTAGGTTGCGGCTGCACTTCATCTGGGTTCTTGTTAAGCAGTTTAATGCAAGCTACCATAACAATATGAGCTACCATAATCTGGAAGCCATATTATTAACCATAGAGGTTGAGACTTCACTTCATGATCATGAGGGCCTCGAGAGTTTACGGCTTAAGATGGTGCTTGGTGGCTGTGAAGCTTACTAGTACATTCCGTGCTGCATCCTTCCAGATGGAGTCCTTAGCATATCCAAGCCCTCCCACTTCTGAAATACTCTCATCGCTGGGTTTGGCCCATGGCTACGTACCAAGCCTAGTCGACTCTAGCCCAGACCCGGACAGTTCTTCATGTGCGTCTCTGGCAGCATCTGTCAAGCCATAGATAGAGGCCCAGCATTGAGCCCAATACAGAAGCCTGAACAAAAAACGATGGTGTTACGGTATATTGTAGATTCGGTTTTTTGTATACTGTTCCATTTTAATGTTTATTATGGATATATATATATATATACATACATACATATGTATGTTTTTCGGATCAAGGATCTAGACCCCCCCCAAAGCTGCTCATGGCAGGCAGTGGAGTGCAGACGTCAAGGCCAGCCGAGCTTGAACAAATCACTTCCCAACGCTCCGAATTGGCGACGTTTCTGGTGGGGTGATCTGATTAGTGATACTAGTACTTCTGGAATGCCGGATTCGACGAGCACTAAAAATCCAGGAGTTTAGTCACACAAGTACTGATGAATATCGGCAGTTTCGAGACCCTATACCACAGAGAGGAGCCTCAAGAGAAGCCATCGGACAGTCTTATGCAGGCCCCTGTAGATGCAGACTTGCACCAAAAGTGACAACTTGCGGCTGCTGACAATATCAAGTCTAGTATACCCGGAAACCCTAGTCTAGCCATTCAGGCCCCTACATTGGGTCAAGTACCCAGAGAGCCCAATACCCCTTAATTAAGGAATATGGCCTAAATTAAAACATGAATCCCCTTATTATTTAAGGTATATTCCTTAATTCAGGGGTATGGGGCTCTCTTGGTAGCCTTTCGCAGCGACCTGGCGAGGTCGGACCTAGCTGATTCCGCTTGCACGCAAGGCTCGGGACTGCTGATGATAGAAATCCTGCATGACCCATAATAAGGAATCTAACATAATTCCCATAGTTTAGGGTCATTAAGGTACTGCAGGATTTATATCATCAACCGAAGCACTCGAATTTTCGGGGTTAGGGACGGCGCTGCAAGTGACAGGGCCCGGCACCGACCAGACGTGAACTCATGCATCGATTCTCTTCACAGCATCTCTAAGTAGGGTTTCGGGACATTTTACAATTTCCCTTGTTGGGCTTAAGAGGATCTTTTCTACTAATAGTTTTCAAAGGCTTCAAAAGCACCTCCTAGATCTCCTTAACAAAACCTCCACACGCCCCCTGGGCCTTTTGAGGCGCAGGAGTCCTGCTGGACTTCCTCACGAGTCTGCTCTACACCATGAAGCGACCCTCGAAGGCCGCCTTTGGGCATCAGCTGTTGGAAGTCATGGCGAAGGAAATCTTTGCGATTCTGGCATGGTCTGTGTCTCTCGGTTTAGGGTTTAGGGTCTCTCTTTCTCGCTCTTTATTTGGGCCAAGATTGAAGCACCCGAGGCAGCCAAGTGCAGGCAGCCTTTGCATTCAGCGAATATACTCTACTGTAGCTTTGGTGCTATACTCTAAATTCCTTGAATCTAGTATAACCCAAGTGCTCCATAATACTATACGATAGCTACAGCTATAAGAGCTATCCTCAAGATACGATAACCCTAAACCCCAGTGTTTCAAGCAAACCTACTACACTATAGACGAAGCAAGCCCTGAACCCTAAACCCTTAAACCCCTACACCCTAACCCCCTAAACCCTAAACCCCCTAAACCCTAACCCTTCAAAGCCCTAACATTTGATGTCATCCAGAGGCCCAACAGCAGTTCCTTTTTGAGATTATTTCATAAGATTCTAAATATGGAAATATGGACCCCGAAAAGGAACTACTTTGGGGCCTGAGGGCAGCCTCGTGACTAAGTCGAGAGAATGAACCCTACTATAGATCCCTTGTAAACCTCTTTAAAGGAACCCCTTTAAAGGGAACCCTATTCTAATTACTAAGGCCCCTTATGCTGAACCCTTGTACTACCCTCATAGTAACCCTTATAGATTCCTTCTTAAGAACCCTTTAAGGAACCCACAAAAGATTAGCATCCTTTAAGGGAGCCTTACTCGGAGGACCGTGGGACTTAGTAAGTAAGGTTATAAGTACCCTAATTGGAGTTACAAGTATAGTTACCTTATTTATCACCCTAGTTACTAAGTCCCATGATCCTCCAAGTAGACTAAACCCTAAACCCCAATAGATCCCTTATGGAACCTGGAACCCTTGAAAAGCAGCCCCCTTAGTCACTAAGCCCCATGATCCTCCAAGTACTGAGACCAGAAGAAGTCGAGGCAGACCGGCCGAGGGCCTGGGAGGATCCGAACAGCGAGGGCAGGTCCGAGGCGGCGCTTGCAGAGTTTCTCTTTTGCTGCTGGTTTAGGGTTTAGGTTTACGGTTTAGGGTTTAGGGTTTTAGGGTTTTATAGGGTTTAGGGTTTTACAGGGTTTTATAGGCTTTTATAGGGTTTTTGGTAAACCCTAAACCTTAAAAGGGTTTATAGGGTTTGTGCTGCTGCCTTGACTTGGATGTTTCAAGTGGGTCGATTGCAACCGGAGGGTTTAGGGCTTAGGGTTTCGGGTTTATAGGGCTTATATGCCAGAACCCTTCTTGTACCCTCAAATAGGGGTATATGGTCCCAAATAAGGGGCATTTAGAGTATAATAGAGGGTAGATGGAGGGTCTAGGTTGACTTGTATGTTTTAAGGGGGTCGATCAAGAACCTGCAACCGGTCTCGTTCGCCAGCCGAGTTTCCATAGTATAGAAACACACGGCCTTCGCAGTTTCCGACGGCTCAAGCCAGCTGCCTTGAAGTGTCGCGCCCTCGTCCTGTCAGCTCAGGGAGATGGCAATGCTTTGGAGTCTCAGCTTCTTGGTGTTGCCGGTGGCTGGGCAGTTTACCTACGAGGCCGGCACCACTCAGCCAACACCGACCGTGGAGAGCAATTGTTTCCAAGAGGAGTTGTCCTCCAACCAGGTCTACGAGCAGAGGTTGTCCCAAATGTTCAATGGGTCTTCCAACAGAGTCTGCCCTGGGACGACAGGCCTCTTTGTCAACAAGCCATGCACGTGGGCTGCCGGCAAGGCCACCATGACGGTGGCGCCTGTCATCAATCAGTGCCATTGGTCGCTGAGGAATTTCCACTGGCATGATAGCTCCGACGAGTGGAGCTACATGGTCAAGGGTGTGATGCAATTCTACTTGACATCTCCAAACGGCGAGCCATGGCAGTCGTCCATCAACAATGTGGCTGCAGGAGGAGTGTGGTTCTTCCCACGAGGCTGGCCACATGCCTTTGTTTGCGTCTCGGAGGAGGGCTGCAACTATGTCCTTACCTTTAACGGCCCGCAGGCGGTTGCCGTGAACGATCACATGATCGCGGAGACACTAGCACAGGCGCCATCCAACATTGCGGCCTACTCGATGGGCATGAGTCAAGGTGAATGGGCAACAGCGAAGCCTTCGGCGGAGGGCTTCACTTCATATTTCTTCTCCAAGGTGGATCTCGACATCAATCAAATTACTTTAGGTTAGTATGGGGGTCAGTGCTTTGCTTGGGTAGGGCGTTGGAGATTATAATTTCCTTCGTTCGCCAGGTGGACCCTGCCAAGTTCAAGTGGCTACCAGAGACAGCTTCCCTTCCTGCCGGGGTGAACCGCAGCGTGGAAGTGGAGGATACTCGCCCTGGCCTGGGGCAGGGCATCAGGGTCTTCAACATCAGGCAGGAACAGTTCCCTTTTGCCACGAGAATGTCACAGCAGCGCATCGTTTTCCAGCCAGGTGGCTTCCGTTCCCTGGTTTGGATCACGAATGCCGCGGCGACTATGACAGTCATCAGTGGCCATGTGAATGCATCGACGCAAGGCGGCATCAGTGGCGGTTTTGAGACGGAGTACTCCTCCAAGTCATACACCTCCACAAACCTGGGCCCTTTCGATGCGTTCTACTTCCCGATCCGCCGTGCCTACTGGATCGCAGAGGCCACCGGCACTGAGCCCGCCGAGGTGATCGTCGTGTTCGAAGTGGGGAACTGGCAAGCTTTGGAGGCCCGGGATGGTTTCGGCTGCTCCAACCCGCTGGGGGCGCCATGGGCATATGATGCTGCCGCCGGAGGCATCGAGTGTCCACAGACAGCCCCTGGTTTGACGCAGAAAAGCCAGCCGCGTCTCAAGAAGCTCCGTCATCACGATGGCAACTCCGAGGTCCAGTCGTTCATGCAGCAGCCGGAGTCTGAGGGCAGCGATGAGCTATAGTCTCGCCGCGTTTAACCGGCATTGTTTACGATGTAGACCAAACTGCTGAAGGTAAGCCTCCTCCAGTTTCCAGGTACCGTCTCTTCTTTCAAACAATCTTGAGAGACGCCAGCTTGCGCATTGCCATATGTGCATGCGTGGGCGGGCACCGTTTCCTACCGAATCACGCGGAGATTTGCCTACAAGCTTCATTGGTTTAGAGATATTTAGAGCTTAGGTCCAGGTTCCCCAGAGGCGCCCTTTTCCGTTTTAGTTCCCTTCATCAGAACTGAACTGCAGGAGAACGGTGTCGTTATCAAGGGGCTACGGGGGAGCCTGAGAGTTTCTTCATCGGTCTTAAAGTATTTTGGATAGATCGGAGCACCTGCGAGAGAAATGAAGGCTGCCAGGGTAGTGTTTAGGGGTCACAGAGAGACTTTGACAGAGGCATGAAACTCAATTTTGAGGATCATGTTCTGCAAGGAGGGCGCTGGTCGTCAGTTCGCCACGCGTCACCAGAATCTATGTATAGTGTTTGTATGTGTTCATTTTTTATGTATACGGCGAGTGTGAGTATGTTTCAATCAGTTAGAGGTTATGAAACTATGTTTTGCACTCGCTGGTTTCAGTTTTGCTGATGACTCGTTCTTGGAAACGGCAAGAATTGGTGGCGCCCACATTCAAACTGGAAGCGGACCTCAAAGTGGATTCTGGCCTCAGGTACAACATCAGCTGATCTATGACCTGTTCGTCAGCACGCCGCTGATCTCGACGATGTTCCTGTATCCTGGCTCATTACACTGCACGGATTGAAGCGGCTCTTGCCCGAAGCTAGTTCTGTAGTTCGCGGTGGTATTTCAGTCCCAAGCACTTGTCCTGTATCAGAGCATGCGCCACACTCCCCCATCCCCTCCCCCCTCTCCCCTCCCCTCCCCTCCCCTCCCCTCCCCCGGATGAGGCTTGTTGACAAGGAGTCCGGCTCAGTACCGCTGCTGACGGCCCTGTTGCAGCACGCAGCATCCTCAGATGAACATCGGCTATGAGCTGCAGTAGTTCTAGGAGCCTAAATAGTTACCAATTACTTCTTTGGGGGTTCCTTTCTAACTACAGTGTAATGAGCCCCTAAACCCTATTCTAATTATTAAGGCCCCTATATTCGGCATTCCATCCCTAGCGCACAAGCTCCAACAGTATCTTGGATTGTTCCTGGTTTTGTGTAGAGTGGTGCCCTTCCATCAGAACTCCGGCTGACTCCTTGCGGTGCGCATGCCTAATGGCCTTGCTTCTGCTGCCAGCAGCATTTTGGGGCTGAAGGCCAGAGCATTCCGGACGACGAATCGCTGAGTAATTCAAGAGTGAAAGAAAAGCAGTCTACCCGAAATCTGGCATCTTGGTGCTACCAGGAGATCGCAAGGGCACTTCATCCAGAGACTCCGCAGGAGTGTGCAACCACTCTTGTGGCAATGATTCTAGGACTTTGATTGGCATTGCCGGAAGTTCTCACAGCCTTGCTGTTACAAGACCCAAAGAGTCCAAGTACCAAAACAGGGTGGCTACCACTATTACTTGGACTCTCAATTTGGGCCCCAAGAGTTGTTGCTGTACGATTGCTTGGGCCCTTTGGCAGAGTTGCAACTACGGCGGCACCGGGCGGCAGCGGGAACCGAGCTTCCATGGCTTGGCTCAGGCTATCAATCGCGCCGATGCTGACTTCGCAGGGCCCCAAAGGGTTGAGGGTTTCGTTTGAGGTTTTAGCGTTTAGGGTTCAAGGGTTCCTAGACCCTCCATCGTCTACCCTCTATTAGACCCCAAATGCCCCTTATTTGGGACCATATACCCCTATTTGAGGTACGAGGAGGGTCCTGGTTTAGGGTTCAGGGTTGTTTAGGGTTCCGGCTTTTTCGGTTTGCAAGAAGCCGTCCGATTCAACATCTGCCAAAAAGAGCTCCGAACCTGGTCCTTCAGAAACACCCGGAGTCCGACAGCCTTCATAAAGGCAAGAAGGGTCATCTGCATAACATATGTAGAAGAATAAGTAATTACCAGTGTTACTCCTTAGGGCTCCTTATTATAAATCTACAAATTAGGAGCCCGAAGCCTTATTCTAACTACGAAGGCCCCTACATTACGCTTGGATTCGGTTTCGACGCATTCCATCAAGACACAGCTGGCTCTTGTCTTGTGCAGGGGACGACTTTTTGAAAGCCCCCACAAGTTTCCCACAGATCGCTGGGCAATAAGAACATGTTTGGGCAAGCTCACATGATCTCACATGAACTACAACAGGCTCATATGGTGCATCAGCAGAAGGTGGTCTATTGACTGAAGGAAATAGGGAGCCCCGTACTTGCAGGCTAGCACACCGCGGGACCAATGAGGAAACAACAAGCAGAACCATTGCCGTTAATGATGTTTCTATTCTATGCCTAGTTGCAATTCGCAGTATGCCGATCTCCGTCCGGATTAGTGCTGCTGTGATGATGTCCGATGAGTAAGTTGTCATTACTCGTATTTCTACAGCCTGGTCTTCACCTTTCTTAGCCCAGAAGTTCGGACGACATCATATGCTGGTTGTCGAAACTCCCTCCAGCTGCGGTTGAATAGTTGAGCCTGAAGCCCAAGACGAACTGAGGAGCCCCGAAGTACTGAAAATGTCCTTCCAAGCTTTGAGCCCGGGGCCCGAGCCTGACAACAAGGCCTTGGCCGTGGTGACCCGCTGCCTGCCACATGTCGGCCTGCTGTGCGCGAGCCTGATTCAATACTGGGACTGTCGTGCGCCGCCGAAGACGAGTTGAGCCAATGTGTCACGGAGGGTGCTTGGAGGATCATGGGACTTAGCAACTAGGGTTATAAATAAGGTACGTATAACCTTACTTACTAAGTCCCATGATCCTCCAAGTGGGCGGAGGGACCCTCGCCTCTTTCGGGCTTGTGGAGATGAGAGACAGCGATCTTCTCAGGCGCGCGAGTTCTTGGCACCTCGCGATTGAGGCCGTCGGATGTGGGAAAGGCTCTTGTTTCGGGTTTAGGGTTTGGGATTGGGGTTTAGGGGTTAGGTTTAGGGGCTCTTGTTTGGGAGGAGCCTCATTTTTATAGCTGTAGCAGAATATGCCTCAAGCCAGATTATGCAGACTAAGGCCCCTGGAGGTCTCTTACACATAATCGTATCATGATGCATCCCCAATTCGGTTATATTCGTTGGTCACGAGGGACCCTTCCTGGGGCGGTTTCTGTTTTCGGTGACTGGTGTCGGTCTATTCTGCATGCAGGAGCAGGGACTTAGTGTCAGTGTGGCACCTGCTGGGTCTTACCATGCTGGACAGAACTCAAAGCAATTGCATGGCACGTAGGCAAGGTTGTCGAGTTCGAAGCGCCAGCCTGTAGCAGATTTGGCTGCAAGGCACAATTACAACAGGGTCAACTAATTACAAGGGCTATTATAACAAGGGATATTACAAGGGGAGGGCTCTTTTTCACAACTGCTATGATGAGGCTGTCATGAAAGACACAGCCACCACGGCACTGCAAACGCAGTGGCGACTGTCAGGCCGCGCGAGCCTCTTGGGGCTCTGCGCGTGGAGGCCGGATTTTTGGCGGTTTTTCTAGTCATACGTCGAAATGGGCATTTACACATGGTATGCACACACATGCATCCATCCATGCATGCATAGTGTGCAAAATGTAACAGAGAAATATACGCACGTACAACCTCTCCCGCATGTTTGTATATATGTTTCCATCCCTGTCCGGCGGTCTCGGTCGGTGTGTCTGTGTGTGTGTGTGTGTATGTCTGTGTATGTATGTCTGTGTGTGTGTGTCTGTGTGTGTGTGTGTGTGTCTGGGTGTGTGTGTGTGTGTGTGTGTGGAATTCCTGTTTCTAAGGAAGACATCTTTTCCGACAGTTCTGTAATGCATATACGAGAATGCAGGGGATGCAGGGGGCCGCAGGCTTACCATCGGAGCTGCGGCCAACGAAGACCTCCGATGGTAAGTGTGAAAACGTACCTGCTGAAAACAACCATATCTCTTCTGAAGATTTTCCGTGGAGATTCTGAATGCAAGCTTCTGAAGATTTTCTGTGGAGATTCTGAATGCAAGCTTCTGAAGACTTTCTGTGGAGATTCTGCATGCAAGCACAATTCGAAGCGTGAAGAAGAAGATGACGACTCGAGACAACCAGCTCAGACTGGGTATGTGTGTGATTCCCGGTAGTAATTCTGCCAAAGCGCTGCCGGCCCCTCGGTCTGCGGGGGAATGATGAATACTCCCTGAGTCCCTGTCTTCTTTCTGAATAGTGGACTTCAGTCTACATCTAACGCTGAAAATTACCGAACGATGAGATGTGAATGCTCCCAGCTGATGAAAATATCCAGACGCGGAAAACATATGAAGTCCTCTGGCAGATGAACATTGTATGCGCAAGATGAATACCTCCTGAGAATGATTGCGCTCCTAGCTGTCTACGGATTAATCTGAAGTCCACCTCTACGAATTCCCACAGTCCCGAACCTGTGCGGCCTGGAAATGTAACTACTGCAGAGGCGGTGTGTCAAGATTCGGGATCAGGTCGCCCGAAAAGCTCTGACACACATGTAGGATGATGTCGCCGATGCTATATCTACTGAGCGCTTTAGTTGGTGATGTTCTTAGTAATGCGTCCTCTACGTACCTCTTCGACGACGCAAAAGATGGTGTGCTGGGTGATTTCTGACCGCTGAAGACATCCAAGATGATATCGCCGTAAGAATGTTACTTGTTGTACCTCTAGGTTTTGTGTTTGCGAACGCACATTCTGAAGACCATTCTGAAGACCTCCTGAGTTACACGCTGAAAACATCCGGAAAGCTGACATTTATAGATCCTCCTGTGAGAGTGGCAGAGGCGGTGTGTCAAGATTCGGAATCAGGCCGTCCGAAAAGCTCTGACACACATGTAGGATGATGCCGCCGATGTTATAGTAGTCTTGCGCGCTTAGGTTGGTGATGTCTATTACTAATGCGTCTTCTGAATACCTCGATCCT